CTTAAAAATGGGACAAATAATAACAATTTTAATGGGTGAGGCAGTGAATAAGTGGCATCTGGTTTTCTGCTGCCAGGTTATTGACAGGTGTTTCTGCACAAAGTTAGCCACCATCTTTTTTGCATGTCTCTGTGTTCCTGGGCCCAATTCAAGGTGTTCGTTTCGGCCTGAAATACTTGGGACCCAGGTAGTTCTCAGGGTGCCTTTTCCTTTTGACAGACTGGCCAAGGCCATGAGATCAAGGGGGAGGGGACAGGAGACAGGGCCTTCTCTGTAGTGGTGCCCCGGCTGTGGAGTGCTCTCCCTCTGGAGGTGCAGATGGAGGCAACATTACTCAGCTTCTAGACCTGGTTACAAAAATGTGTTCTTTCAGGCCTTTGGAGATACCCAAGCTAGTTTGGTTTTACCTGCTGCCCAACCTCACATACTTGGGAGTCAGCCCCACTGAATGTGGCCAGACGCTGCCATGCGTCTTTAGATACCTCGAAAATTGCCTTGTGGTTACTTTGTAATGAAGGGTGGTCTGTTAATTTTGTTAATAATAAACAAATGATGATCATAATGATGCTGCTGTTGGGAGTGCAGAGACCCACTGATGTTTCCAGAGTAGTTAGCAACTGAGGTGAGAGGTGAAAGGCCACGCTCCGTTCTGTAGCAAAGAAGGATTTCATATTAAGCTCTGGCCAGTAGAGTTTAGCAGCATTACTGTTCCAAGGAAGAAGACAATTGCCCTGACTCTGTCTTTGCTATGCACTGCAGTGGTACAGAAACAGCACATCATGTCATGAGAAATTATGTATTTCTCCTGGAATTAAAGATTAAAGGTGGGTCCTTCCTTGCCTCTCATCAGATTGACTAGGAAATGAACTACTTTGAACGGGGATACAGGGACAAAAGGCCCACCCCACAGGGAACCCTCTAACCGCATGAGTCCCATGCAGGAGTGGGTTTTTCCCCCACCCCCGTTTCCCCAGGGCCAGCTCTCTACCTGAGAAGCCTTCTCCTGCTCAAAGTGGGAGAAGAAGGGGTGGGGGACTTCTGGTGCTGGCCCCTCCTTTTGCAGGGAGCGTTTCCAAGCCCCTGGAACTCATTTCTCTCCCAGCAAAATCTCCAGCCCAAAGGACCCAAGCCCAGAGGAGGATGCCTGCCACATCTCTGCATGATCTGTTAGCCCTGCCTTGCCTCTTGCTAGTTCACCCTCCCCTGGGATCAGGGAATTCTGGCTAATTTCTACACTGGTTTGATTGGGACACTCAGGCACTTTTGACACTGGAGGTCTTCACCTCTAATGCATCAGGGGGGCAGCAGGACAGTGTGCTCTGCTTCAGCCTCACATCTTTGCATGTTGAGCAGGAAGGTGGGGGGAATTTTTGGACATTCAGCTAATTTTGCTTAGAACCCCGCATGTAATTGGGAAGCCCAGTTTGCACAGGATTCCCGTTCAGGTGGAGATTATAAACATACTCAGATGAACACATGACGATGTTTGGGTGGAGCCAGCAATGATGGGACAGGGCGAGCGCCTTCCTCAGTGCATTCTGCGAGCACATGAGGCAAATGCTGACCTCCTGGCTTTGAGGCAGCCTTTCCAACCTCTAAATGTTTTGGACTACAATTCCCATCAGCCCCAGTCCTGCACATCTGCCAAGCTGGTCAAGGTGGCTCTGAGGACAGGCCGTTCTTGTCCTTTACATTACCTAGTAATGGATCAAAATGTGCCTCTAAACTTTGCTTTTTTGTATTTGAAATGTGTTGCACATTCTGGTTTGGAATCAACACATGTAGGCAAAATGGCTCTCTGCCCCCCTGCATTAATTAAGACAAGTTTGCCTATGAATAGCATCACACAGTGTTAAAATGACAACATAAATGATTTAGCCTACAAAGATGAGTAGATGGAGAAGACCAATTAAGCATATGAAATGGTAGATACCAAAGGTGAGCTCAGTCCTTATGCTTGGCCAATGTGGCACCTCCAGATGTTAGTTGACTGCAGCTCCCATGGCAAGATGGCTGGGCCAGATCTGGAGGGCACCAGCTTAGTAAAGGCTGACATGTGGTTAAAACATCACCAACCACATGTAAGAATCCTAAAAACCATTCTTTTGGGGAGGGGGAGTAACCCGGGGCGGGGGGACAAAAAAAACCCCAACAGCTCGGCGACTGAAGATACTTAGTGACCAGATAATGCTGTATTTCTGTTGGGGGGGGATGAGTGGGGGATGGGATGGAGTATGTTGCGGGTTCCACTTGTATCACCCTAATTTTTTGGAGGGGTGCTTTGACGATCGGAAATTTGGGGGAACTGTGCAGTAGCAGAGCAGACCAGATGCTCTGAGGAAGGCTTGAGTCCAGAACTTTTCCCACATAGCTCTGCACGGTGATGTATGTCCCTGTTGCATTCTGGAAAGAGGAGAGCCGGCTAGTCCCGCCGAGAGCACCTTCAGAGTATTCACAGCTTAACAGTTCTAAAGGGCAGGAAAGCTCCCAGCTTTAGTGTCCCCCAGAGTCAGGCTCATCTAGGCATCTTTGCTTCACAGCACCAGGCCCTGCTGCTGATCTCCACTATCTTGTGGCTAGCACATGACCTGCCAGTTTCCAACAATGTGCTCAGGAAGAACTGCAGCGCAGGGAAAGGCAACTGGTTCCAAGGACTTCATTCATCAGGGCGGGATTAAATCAAGAAATTAGAGCTCCCTTCTGTCCATCAGGCAGCGCCCTTGAACTCTTATTCCCAGATTTCCATCATGGGCGGTGGCTTTTTGTCCTCCTGTTATTTAACTGTTTAATTATTTATTTCACAAAAATTATATACTGTGTGACTGCAAAAATCAAGAAAACCTCAAGCAGTTTGCAAATAAAATAAAGCAATGAAAACAGCGAAAACAGGCAAAACCAACTTTTAAAACTTTTTAAATGTTGCTACCGAAAGGGGCGCGGGTGGCGCTGTGGGTAAAAGCCTCAGCGCCTAGGGCTTGCCGATCGAAAGGTCGGCCGTTCGAATCCCCGCTGCGGGGTGCGCTCCCGTTGTTCGGTCCCAGCGCCTGCCAACCTAGCAGTTCGAAAGCACGTCAAAGTGCAAGTAGATAAATAGGGACCGCTTACTAGCGGGAAGGTAAATGGCGCTTACTAGCGGGAAGGTAAATGGCGAGCCAGAGCAGCGATGTCACGCTGGCCACGTGACCCGGAAGTGTCTCCGGACAGCGCTGGCCCCCGGCCTCTTGAGTGAGATGGGCGCACAACCCTAGAGTCTGTCAAGACTGGCCCATACGGGCAGGGGTACCTTTACCTTTACCTTTTACCGAAAGGTAGCTGCAATTCCAAATCAATTCCAGAGATTGTGGCTCTAGGTAGGGAAGAGGGGTCTCCCCAGCATGTTCAGCCTTTTAGCAGACTACAGTTCCCAGAATTCTTTGGGGGAAACCATGACTGTTTAAAGTGGTAAGATCCTGCTTTAAATGTATAGTGCAAATGGGGCTGGCCTGGGAACCAAGAGCTGGCACAGATGACATTAAGCACCCAGCGATCTCTTCCAAATTCCCACTCGCCCGTGGCCTACTCATGTGAGCAGTTCGACACTGAGGGAGAAGAATTGCATGAAATTGCAGCTCCCCTTCCATGTCTCAGAAACCACCTTTCCAATCAACAGTGGCTGAGAAGAATTCCTGCCTAGCCTGGGAGGTCTCCTCCCACCCACAGCGCAGAAGGGGAGAAAAGTGGTTCTTCCCCCCTCCTTAATTGCCAGGACATCTAATTGCCTTTCTGTCTCTCTAATGCTGTAATAACAGTCAGAATTGCACAGACTGATCCTCCACCGGGTTTCGCGAATGCCCCAAGAGTGAGGAACAGGAGAGCATTGTGCAAAAGACTTCTGGTTTATTTTTTCAGACTGTATTCATGTGGGAACCTTCTGCCTCTCACTGCCATCCCTGCCTCCAAAACTTCCCGCAGCCCTGTCCCTGCTCATGTGCTCAAGCTAGCCTGGCAAACAAGCGCAGTCCTGTTGAGCCCCTTTGATGCACAAACTCACTCTGGCCTGCTGTGGTCACCTTGGCCTCCTACCAAAATCATTCAAGCCCTTTGTTTAGAGTGTGTGGTAAAGGTAAAGGTACCCCTGCCCGTACGGGCCAGTCTTGACAGACTCTGGGGTTGTGCGCCCATCTCACTCAAGAGGCCGGGGGCCAGCGCTGTCCGGAGACACTTCCGGGTCACGTGGCCAGCGTGACATCGCTGCTCTGGCGAGCCAGAGCCGCACACGGAAACGCCGTTTACCTTCCCGCCAGTAAGCGGTCCCTATTTATCTACTTGCACCCGGGGGTGCTTTCGAACTGCTAGGTTGGCAGGCGCTGGGACCGAGCAGCGGGAGCGCACCCCGCCGCGGGGATTCGAACCGCCGACCTTTCGATCGGCAAGCCCTAGGTGCTGAGGCTTTTACCCACAGCGCCACCCGCGTCCCTCAGAGTGTGTGGTACCCTTCCCTAAATTAAAACGAATCCCTATAGTTTCCCTTGGTCCTTGGTTGATTTCCTCACAACATTTGGGGTGGTATCCAGTGCTAGACCTACTCAGAGTAGACCCTCTGAAGTTAACAGACATGACTACCTTAAGTTATTTGATTTCAGTGGGTTTACTCTGAGTAAGACATAGTTGAATACAACCCCTGACCCCACATCTTGACACCAAGGGTTGTTTGTGACCAGTGCCAGTCCTACATCAGAGTAGACCCATTGAAACTAATAGACACGGCTAACTTAGATCCTCTAATTGGAGTGGGTCTGTTCTTAGTAGAAGTTAGTTGGATCTGATGCCAAGATTCCAACCTTCCCACCGTCTATGACCAGCTGTCTTTGAGCAAGAGGGTGAGTTGGCCACAGTCATAGGATTTCATTTTCCCAGGACTCTGCAGCAGCAACCAGGCAGATAATATGTTTCCAGAATGCATAACATTTGTGACTATTTCTGTGGTGCTGTAATAGCTTATCTCGCTCTCTCTCCCACAGGTAAATCGCACCTGGCCATTGTCCAGAAGGTGAACAATGAAGGCGAAGGTGACCCTTTCTATGAGGTGCTGGGCCTGGTGACACTGGAGGACGTCATTGAGGAAATCATCAAGTCAGAGATCCTGGACGAGTCAGATATGTACAGTTAGGTCCCTTCCAAATCTCTGCTATTGCCGGGCAGGGTGGTGTGATGGCAGATCGGCTGTATAGTAATAAATATGTGGATATGTGGCTAGGACATTTTGTGGGTCTTCCTATACCATAGGGCAGGGACAGCCAGTGTGGCACCTCCACCTGCTTTGGACTACAACTCCCATCAGTCACAGCTGGCATGACCAATGATCTGAGATGATGGAAGCAGCAGCTCACATCTGAAGCTGCTTGATTGAGGGTCTCCTGAGGATCAGGTTTCATCCATGCAATATGCTGGAAGATTCAGGGCAGATAAAAGAAAGTACCTCTTCTCACAGAGCACAGCTAAACTATGGAACTCACTTCCACAGGAGGCAGTCCTCTTTTAAAGTCATCTGAGATGGTGGCCATCGCTGCCTCCTGCAAGAGCAGATTCCATAGTTCATGATGCCTTGGCTGGCTCACAGATACTCCAGGCTTCTTCCCTAATGCTGACCATTTCTCATTTGGCCACATTGCAGCCTGGTCCTCAAGCACAGTGCTTTGCTTTTCCTATGAGTGCTGTGTCAACCATACACTTCTCAGGGAGAACTTTAGGGTTGCATTGAGGGACAAAATTGGGGCATTTTCCAAACCTGCCCCAGTGTTTGAGAAGGATTTGACTACTCCCAATGGTGTCCATAGTGTTAACTATGGGTCCCATAGAATTTAATTTGAGTTGTGCTCACTTCGGAAGCAGGTATACTAAAATTGGAATGATACAGAATTTAATGTGTAGTCCTGAGGACTAGAAAGATGTAAATTATATGAAAGCAGAAGACTTCCAGGAGTCTGAGTTACGTGCCCTTGTGGTAGGCACGAGGGTGCATGGAACAAGCACAGTTTGCAGTAATACACTGAATAGCAAACTTGTTCTTGGGGGGACGCCAGTGGCGTATCGTGGGGGGTGCAGGGGGGGCCGGCCGCACCGGGCGCAACATCTGGGGGTTAGGGTTAGGGGGCGCAAATCCACGGGTTAGGGGGCGCAAATTACTTGCCTTGCCCCGGGTGCTGACAACCCACGCTACGCCACTGGGGGACGCCCTTCCTCTCAACCTATCCCCTTCCTCCTCTGCAGCTGACAACCGATCCAGAAAACGAGTGAATAACCAGAAGAACAAAAGGGACTTCTCTGCCTTTAAGGACAATGACACAGAGTCCAAGGTGAAGATCTCCCCGCAGCTGCTCCTAGCTGCTCACCGCTTTCTCTCTACGGGTAAGAGATCCTTTGGGAATCACTCCCCATTCTTGATTCGAAATCCTGGTTTGCTGGAGAAGCATCAAGCACTGTCTGCTGCTTTTGATATAATGCAGACATTTTGCTTTAGAAATCCCTCCACCCTATGTGTGGAGCACAGAGAGCCAGGGAAGTACTGTAGCTGCAAATGAGTCATGGGCCTTACAAGACACACCTCCTTAACATGACCTTTGACCCCTGAGAGGTGGGTTTTCAGGGCCAACCCTATCATTTGCAATCTATTTTTGTATTCGTAATCTGCTTTAACTTTTTTTCAATTTAAGCCCAAAATCAAAACCAGGGACTGCTGTTGAAGGGTGTGTGATGATGATGGTGGTGGTATAACAATACTGTACAGGTCATATGGGCATCAAGAAGCACAGCCGCTTCAGGCTGCCATGGGGTCCCCACCCTCTGTGGGGCTGTGTTTTGGCTGAGTGTAGGAATGTGTGGCATGGGGCAGTTTGGGGAGGAACTGGCATATTTACATGCCGCTTAATACTAAAGCGGTCTCCAAGCAGCAAAAAATAACAAAAAAATATATAAAGCAAACAATTAAACCATAGGCATATCCGGTCTAAAATACAGCAATACCCTATAAATGCAGTAACATTTTGGAAAGGTGGAGACACATGGGAAGCAAAAATCGCTCAGAGGGCAGCCTCCTTGACAGGGGCTGCTTTGGGTTTCTCACAGGAGCCCATCTTACCTTTTTCTTGGCACACCAGTGCTGCCCGGCACATTTTTGGGAAATGTCTGACTTGCATCATTTGCAAGAAATGCACCCACACCTGCGCAGGCAGGTACCCCCACCGTTTGATGTGGAATCCTGTTCCCTTTGCTGTCTTATCTTGAGGCCCATAATAAGAGCTGCCAAATCTGATTTCAAAGACTAATAGGAGAGCCTTGTGAGAAGGTCATTCCCATTGTCTCATTCACAAATTACAGGGGATTTACCTTCTCAGAAAGACAAGCCCTCCATTATCCTGTCTGCTGTGGCTTTAGGCTTGAATGGGAGGTTGCTGCTGGGTCTGTCTGTTTATCCTCCCCCCTCTTCCTCGGCGTCTCTTCCTTGCATCAAAGTCAACAAAACACAGCCCCAATATGGTTGGCAAGTTTCTAGGGAGGGCAGCCAGCCAAGGATAGGCTACAACTGAAGATAGGGCAACGTAGGTTGTATCCAGTGCTGGTCCTACTCAGAGTAGACTCCCTGCAATTAATGACATGGCTAACAAAGGTCCACTGCTTTCGGTCAGTCTGCTCTGAGTCCACCTTAGATGCAACCATTTGCTTGCGGGGCAGAGGAGCTGCAAGAGGGAGCGGTGCTCCTTAGAACGCGGAAATGTCAAAGCCAGCTGAGAAGGAAAATTCATTGCCAGGGAAGCCCCCACTGAGAGAGGCAGAGTCTGAGACCGAGAGAATATATAGATTATGGCGGGGGAAATCCCAGGGCGCTGTTGGTTTTTATTAAGTTGTTATTTATTTCATAAAATTTGCATGTCACTTGATAGCAAGAAAAAAGACCCCAAAGCAATTTACAAAAATAACGGAGCTATAAAGTTATCAATAGAAACATTTAAAGGCTGCTGTTTAAACAAACAAACAAAACAAAAAATCAATGGTCAGCTGAAAACAGCAGAGGTACACTTCCCAGAGTTCCCAGTGAAGACTGATAGATGACCAAACCAATCTGTTGTAGATCTGGGAGGGATTCTCTTTGCAACTCTCCATACCTTTAACAAACTACAGCTCCCAGAATTCTTTGGAGGAAGCTGAGACTGTTCAAAGTAGTATTGTAGCACTTTGAATGTTTGGTGTGAACCTGGCCTGGCTCTGTATCATCCGCAATGACTGGCCGTGGCTCTCTCCCAGACCTCCCTGGAGAAGGCTTTGGGGACAGGCCTTTTTGCATGCAAAGCAGGCGTTCTGCCGCTGACCGCTGCCCTTCGCCAACAATTCTCACCCACTGAGGGTGAAGAAATATCAGGTCGATAACAGCCTGAATTTCTGGTTTCAGTACACGTCTCTCCCGCCCCCCCCCAATATCTGCTTTTTTCTGGGTTTCACTGCTCCCACTTCTTTGCAATGCCCGGACCTGCCCTGAAAGGTTGATTCCCCTGGATGTTTCCCTCTGGGGTCTGACTAGCATGTCCCCCGCCTGCTTTTTGCAGAAGTGACGCAGTTCACCCCCTCCCTCATTTCGGAAAAGATCCTGCTCCGTCTGCTCAAGCACCGCGACGTCATCAACGAGCTGAAGTACGACGAAGAAAACAAGAAGTGCCCCCAGCACTTCCTCTTCAACAGGAACAAGCCGGCCGACTTCTTCATCCTCATCCTGCAGGTAATCCAATCCCCTTGGCGTTTGGAAGCGGGGGGGGGGGGGGAGACTCTCACCAGTTTAAGGCAGTAGTGGGCGGGGCCAGGGGCAAAAGTGGGAGGAGCAACAGATGAGACTTTGCTGCAGCCAGCTCCATTCCAGCCACGCAAAAGTCAGAGTTTTCCCTCACCCGACCACCCAAGGAGTGCTCAGAGGAGGGATGGAGAGGAGCATCCTGAGGGCCAGGTAGAGGGCAGCATTGGACCTCCGACATGAGGCTCACCCCCTCCGTTGTGCCTGGTATGGAACAGGACTGGCTCAACTGATGCCCTCTGAATGATGCTGGACTCCCTCAGTCCAGCATGGCCGGTGGTCAGGGGTGATTGGGGGTCCCCCCACCCAGGGGACCAGGAGGATTGTGGGAAGCGATACTGGGTGTTCCCACAGTCTGTGAGGGGCAGAGGCCAGCCTGTGAGGCCTTCCAGCGCATGTGTGCTGAGGATGCTGTTCTGCCATTCCCCCTCCCCCTGCCCATGTGGTCCTCGGCTTGAAAAGTCAGATGATCGCCACACTCCATAGTCGCCTTTAACTGGACTTAACCATCCATGGGGGGTGCTCTGGCACAACCCACAGGCTCCCCTCAACTCCCCTCTGCCACCTTTTCGCTCCTTCAAAGATGTATTGCCCCAAGCCGGGTTTCTGATAGGTGTTTCTCAATTCCCTTTGTTCCTGCTGCCACCACAGATACTTTGTTCTGAACTTTTCTCACCTCTTGCATAGCCAGTCAAGAGGCATGTGGTGCAATTTATTAGCACATGAACATTTGGCCTCAGTTTGGAATTATCTCTTTGTTCCTTTGTCTCCCACAAAGCGAAGGCTGATAACAATTCTGACCCTCCTCTATTAAACCAGCCCTGCTGCCCTCAAATCCTCTCCCCACATCCACCTCTTGCCCCAACTCGGCTTCCAAATTGTCTCCCACCAGCATTTAAACTCCTTTTCAAGCTCTTATCCAATCACCAGTCATTTCCACCTGCACACATTGCCTCCTGCTTCCAACCTAACACATACCTTAATTTAAATATTATACTTAACCTACACATTTACCTTACAATACTGCATATGCACACAAATACAGATGTTCCCTAAAGAAATGCCCAAACTTCTCCCACACCTGTTTGTTGCAGGTAGAGGCTGACATTCATAGGCTGACTGTGCTCCCCCCTTGGAAGCTTGTGTGCCATTTTTCACCTTCTCATTGAAAGATCCCTGCTGCTGACTCTGGCTGCTTCATGGAAGCTCCTGAGAATCTCACATGACTCTTTGTCTTTCTCACAGGGCAAAGTGGAGGTGGAGGCCGGCAAGGAGAATATGAAATTTGAGACCGGTCCTTTCTCCTATTACGGAGTGATGGCATTGAGCCCGTTGGTCACCACAAGTAAGGACCTGCATGCGGAGGGGGCCAAAGGGAGATGGCCACAAAAGGAGCATGGGGCCGGGCACCCTTCCCAGTGGAGCCCGCTCCCTCTGTCTGTCAGTGGCAGTGGGCGGGAATGGTCAGCTGGCAAGCCAAGAGGCAAGCCGGGCCCAGGAAGTATTGTTTTTACCAAGCCCCCTGGGTGGTCGTCCACCAGGGCCTGCAAACCCTGATGGACTTCAGCTCCCTTCAGCCCCAGCCAGTATAGCCAGTGGTTAAGGATGAGAGTTGTAGTCTGGCAACTTTGGGAGGGCCCCACACACTTGCCACCTCTGCCTTAGGCCTCGCTCAAGGCATGGTAGCAAAAAGTTATGCCCATCATTCACTTATAAGGGAAGGCAGATTCCATGGGAGAGAAGGAGGGCTCAACTCTCCTCTTTAGGCTTTGGATGTGACACCCTTTCCATGCCAAAGCGCATGTGCTCCATAAATGGGTGGGCCTGATTGTTCGCAGGGGGTGTCTTTCTTGTGCCTCCCCTCCATCAAAAGGGGTTGTGCTGCAGAATACACATCATGCACCCCCTGTTTGCAGAAAGGGCTGGGCTTCCAGAATACAGTTCATCCTGGCAGCCATGCCCATCCCAAGATGCTCATAGCTGCACCTCGTAGCTGCACCTCCCAATCCTGGAGGAGACTGGCAATAGCTCTTGAGAGAGAGCTCTTTCAGAGAGGGGTCTTTCCCAGCCCTACTCGGAGATTTTGGGGGTAAACCTGGGATGTTTTGCACACAAAGCTCAAGTTCTACCAAGCTATGGTCCTTCCATGCTTAGGGTCCCCTTGCAGTATCAGAGGTTTCTGGGGCACAGCTTTTGACTCCTGTGTAGCCAGGCATGAATTCAGGAGCTGACCCTCACTAGGACATTGCAAGAGGTCCTGGCACTCATCTGGAGAGTGGGCTGAAATAAGCCTTGAGCTGTGGCAACCAGAAACCACAAAACAGCCCCCCATGAGCATATGAAGTTGCTTTCTCCCAACTTAGGCCTGTTTCTCCATGTAGCCCAGAAGCAGAAGCAGCTCTCTGAGGTGTCATGCAGGACTTCCCCAGCCCAAGACCCGTAATCCTTTTAAGCAAGAAGTTAGGGCAGCAAGAGGCCGGCCCCCTCCTGATGTTGTGGGCTGCAGTTCTTATTGTCGCTAATCATTGGCCTTGCTGGCTGGTGCTGCTGGGAGTTGGAGTTCAAATCTTAAGGGCACCACATTGGCTTCCCCTATGTAAAGGGATTGAACCTGGGATATTCTGCACACTGTCTTCATGCCCTAAATCCTCTCGCTCCTTGAGGGCCACTTTGTCCTCTGCGGGCATCCCTTTGTCTTGAAAGACAGTGGAGTGCACCTCAGGGCGTGAAGTCAGACCCCTGTGTTAGCAGCACTGAAATGACCTGGCCTGCTCAGACAACAAGACCCCTTTCTTGGCCTCTCTGATGTGGTCCAAAGGAAAGCAGAGCAAGACCTTTGGCACCAGCTTAGCTGCAGGAATTGCTGGAAGGAGGCGTACAAGGCGCCATCCAACCAGCTTAGGGACTTCACTCTGGATTTGTGTAGGGTTCACTCCTTAGCCTTTTCTTCTCCCAGTGATGTTCTTCAAGGCAGCGGAGGTTCAGGATCAGAGTTTTCCTTCTCCTAGATGGGTTCCCTTCCCAGGTTGACAAGCCCCATCTGCTCCAACTCTGTCCTCTAGGGGATGGAAGAACAACCAGTATATTCCAGAAATTGCCCTGCTCAGCTGCAAGCTCTTGAGCTCCATACTCCATATGCTGCCATCTTGCATGAATGAATGGGTGCTTAGTGCTAAATAAGCCATTGATGGAGCAGAGGGGGTCGTCTTAGGAATGGCAGTCCCCCCCCTTTCAAATCACCACTCAGGTGAATTGGATCTTCCCTTTCCTTCCACACAGCAGTCGTGTTACACCCCCTACCGTGGAAGGTAAACAGCCACATAGAAAGCTGTCTTGCGCTGAGTCAGAGCATAGGTCTGTCTTCCTCAGTATTGCCTACACTGACTGGCAGCAGCTTTCCAGGATTTCAGAGAGCGAGTGTCTCCCAGCTCTACCTGGCGATGCCAGGGCAAGGCAGATGCTCTGCCACTGAGCCTCGTCCCCTCCCCAGGACGGGAAAGGCAGAATGTGTGCAGTATGGAAGGAGATAAGGTGGTGGTCAGACCAAGGAAATTCCACCGCAGAGAGGTCAGGCTCAGAACAGTTCTCAGTGGAGACAAGATCAAAGGACAACAAACAGGGGCAGATATATACAATCTTGTGTGCTGTATTCAGATTTTTGTTTGTTTGTTTGTTTGTTTGGGGAGGAGTGACTTGCAGGAAAGTTCCCATCAGCCTAAGTGTGCAAGCGTGGGAACAAACTCTCCAGTAATTTAACACTGGACTCTCACCCCACCCCCGAGGTGGCACCATCTCATTCTACATCTGTTGTTCTGCTTCTGTGTGCTCACTTCTTTGGTTTCCTCAGAGGAGAAGGGCCGCAGCTGGGTCAGAACAGGGCATTGGCAAAGAGGAGGAAGGTTAGCCAGCCAGGAAGACTGGAGGTGAAGGCTGAGGGAAGAGTACATTTCAGGGGCCAGATATAATTGCTCCAGGGGCTGGCTGGGGCTCACAGGCCACCGACTGCCCATCCCTGCCCTGATGCTTGAAGAAAGCGGACTCTGCCGCTTCTTGGGTTGCTGCCGTATTTGATGTTAGACTTCTGCCCCCTCGTGGCCGACCTGGTGCACATGGTCCTGCGCCACAGAATGCCAGGTGGCTCCTGTCCATCTATAGCAGGGCTGGGGGACCATTCTCAGCACAAGGGCCACTTTCCCTCCTGGGGAATCTTCTGGGGGCCACATGCCAGGGTGGCAGGTCCAAAGCCTGAAGTCACTTTTATCGAGCAAGCTCGTTTCCACACCTACACATTCCCCTCTTGCTTGTTAGGAAGGAGGATGGAGTTCAAGGAGACCTAGGCATGCCAGGACACTTGGGGGGTGGTGGCATGAAACAGGACCTGTGAGGGGTACGGCCTGTGGGGAGCCCCAGAGTGCCAGACAGAGAGGCCGGGAAGGCAGTGGTCAGCCACTGAGCCTGATATTCCCCACCCATGAGCCAGTGTTTCACATTATTGCTTTTTTCATCCAAACAACTACTTGTGGTTCAACACATTGCACAACTTCCCTTGTACTCTTCCCTTGATATAAACCTCCTATCTGATTTTATTCATAAGATATTATGAAAGCTTTTTCATGATACAATAAGATGAAAGAAAGTAAATAAAAAGCAGAGCAAAGAAAGATCACAGAAAATGCAGAGTCCTCTCTGAAAGATGGATCATGGCCCTTTCCTCACACAGAAAGGGGGGGCCTCCCAGCTCCCACCAGGGAGCTTCTCTTTCTTCTCCCCGTATCTCACCCTGGGAGGTCTTCCCTTCCCTGCATCTCAATCAGGCCTCTATCTGAGAAGCTGCCTGAGGCCAGGCCAGGTGAGGTGGGCACTGCTGGCCATGGGCTTGGGATGTTGCTGTGAGTGGCAGCGCAGGGGGCACTGATCCTGTCCTTGGCCGCCAGGACGTTCCCCTGCACAAGGTCGACTGGAAGCAGCCAGAGCTTCATAACAGCACAACAACAGTCCATTCCCAGGGGGAGGCTTCCAGGGGAGGATGCCCTGTGGCAAGCACCAGCAGGTGTGGACTTATGGGGGAGGCCATGCCATTTGGGCTTTCCGCCAGGGGCACTAGAATGGGCTAGCAACAAACCCGCAAAGGGGCTGTGTGGTCTTTCTCCATAAGCAAAGGTTTCTTTGACTTCTCCTTTTGCATCTCTCTCTCCTTCCTGTCCTTCTCTGTGTCCATGTCGGGTTCTAGCTTTGCCTGTCGCGCCCCAGCACCAGCCTCTTATGCCCAGAGCATCTTTGTTTCCCAGGGTGTCAGGTAAACAACACTTGTGCATGGTGTGAGAGGTGCACATTAACCCCTTGCCTGGCAGGTTGCATTGACTCAGCCCTGCTTTCTGGGGGGCACCAGATGGGCAAAAGATGGTATTTGGGGTACATAAATTGGAAATGCAAATGCACAGGGCTGCAAATTATTTTCTTTACAAAAATTGTGTTGCGCTGCAAAGCCCAGTCCAAATTTTAGCCCAAACAGCCCCAGATGTGTTTGCTGGGGCTGATGGGGATGCTGTCCAAAACTTCTGGAGGGGCCTGGGGAGGCAAAAGCTGCCTTAACCCAGATCCCCTGCTCCTCTTTGCTTTTTCTTTCTTTCTTGGTTGTTACTTTTTTTAAGTGTAGTTTTAAAAGCTGGCGTTAAAAGCAACAAACCAGTTGATCCAATTTGAACAAAAAGCAAATTGTTCACGCAGCCAGAGAGTGCATGGATAGCCCTTTCCATTGGCTTACACCCTCTTGGATGGCATCACTTTTTGCGCGGTTGGCAAGGCAGTTCGAAGGGGGGAGGAAGGGCACGGCTTGGTCCCTGGCTCACTCTTCTCTGTGTCTAGTTTCAGAGGTGCGTTCTCCATCTCATTTGAGCAACCTGAATCGGTCGGCCTCCCTCTGCTACCACGAGCGCTCCGACTCCATCTCCTCCAACTTCAGCGGCAGCAACAACCAGCTCAACGCCAGCGCCAGCTCCCAGTACATCTCCGACTTCAGCGTCCGCGCCCTTACGGACCTGCAGTATATTAAGGTGGGTCTTGGGCCTGAGTCTCAAGAGGCACTCAGCTGTAGGGGTGTGTGTGTGAGTAAATGAACATGTGTTGCCCTGCCCACTTTGGATCCTGGCCCACCACTGACAAGCAGCCTAGAAAGGAATGCGGCCCTTGAGCTGAGAAAGGGCCAGATTTCTCCTGCTTCAGACTACAAGTAGTGGCTTGTAGGATAGCACACAGCTGCCCTCCATATCAAAAAGCAAATACAGTGGTGCCTCGCAAGACGAAAAGAATCCGTTCCGCGAGTCTCTTCGTCTTGCGGTTTTTTCGTCTTGCGAAGCAAGCCCATTAGCGGATTAGCGGATTAGCGCTATTAGCAATTTAGCGGGCTTAGCGGATCAGCTGATAAGCGGCTTAGCGGCTTAGCTGATAAGCGGCTTAGCGGATCAGCTGTTAAGCGGCTTAGTGGATCAGCTGATAAGCGGCTTAGCGGATCAGCTGTTAAGCGGCTTGGCGGATCAGCTGATAAGCGGCTTAGCGGATCAGCTGTTAAGCGGCTTAGTGGATCAGCTGATAAGTAGCTTAGCGATCAGCTGTTAAGCGGCTTAGCAGATCAGCTGTTAAGCAGCTTAGTGGCTTAGCGGATCAGCTGATAAGCGGCTTAGCGGCTTGGGGAAAGGGGGGGAAAGGAAAAAAACCCTGCAGGAACTCGCAAGACATTTTCGTCTTGCGAAGCAAGCCCATAGGAAATTTGTTTTGCGAAGCACCTCCAAAACGGAAAACCCTTTCGTCTAGCGGGTTTTCCATCTTGCGAGGCATTCGTCTTGCGGGGCACCACTATAATCTCTTCACAGAGGAAGCTAGTTTGTCAGGGAGAAAGATTTCAGCCTAACTTTTCCTGTGTGAAGGAAGTTATTTTGTGCGGATGAGCATCCCATCAGGTCTGAGGTAGATGTTCCCTTGGGGATCTTTAGCCAGGGCTGTTGGTGTTCTGTGCAACTTCAGTCCCAAGCGCAGAAATTCCGCAACCTGAGTGTTTCAGCAATTTTCATAAAGTACATTTCTAGTCCTTATGGTTGTTCATGTGCTGGCGATGCCTTGGGAAAATTCAAAAGTCAAGAGGCAGAGATCCAAGTACCTTTTCTGTCAGTCAAATGGCTGGGTGTCACCTGGATTTCCTCACGATTACCAGAAACAGAATTTGTTAAGCAAAACAGGTAAGTGTTTATACATGTGTGTATTTAAGAAGATGCACTTTTAATAATAATAATAAATTTACATAACCTATATGCATTATGGAATTTTGCTTTTATCATGCAAAATTTTGCTTTGGGGGGGGGGCTGGAAGGAATTGTGCACACTGAGCAATGTGTTGAGGGTTCAGCTTCTATCTCCTTCTCCACCCGGCAGATCACACGCCTCCAGTATCAAAATGGTCTCATGGCCTCCCGCCTCGAGAGCTGCCCCCAGTCTCCTGAGGGCGGCACCCCCAAATTGGACACCTCCTTGTCAGAAAAGGCGGAAACCTCAGTGACGGACGAAACAACCAGCCTTTTGAACGAGAGGAACTGCCAACACCACAAAGCAAACCACAGCCCCCCAGACAACGTCGTCTGACCCCGGCCTTTGGGCAACCCAGTCTGGTTGGTTTTGCCTCAGTCCTTCCCTTCCAAAGACGAGAACTGGGGGGCGGTGGGGGGGGGGGAGAACACGCCAGTGCCCACAAGAGGATTTTGATTGTGTACCTACAAACCTCAGGTAGTGGCTGCAGCCAGGGAGGGAGAATATCCAGATAATTTTCTCTCTCTAAGCTCTCCCCACATCCGCACGTGCACACACTCTTCCTTTGCAGGACAGTTTGATCCGTCAATGGCCGGCAGCCTGACCGCGGAAACAGCTGCCCAGCTGCTGATGAAAAGGATGCGGGTTCTGGATACCAAAGGGAACTTGGTCACGGAGGGCCAAAGCCCAAACTGTGTGCTGCGATCTGGATGCTCCTGTGGGGGGTTGGGGAGGGGCTGGCTGCCCTGAAGATTTCCAAAGGGAGTTTGCTCCCTGCTTGCTTTTCTACACCAGCTTTTTATTTAAACAAACAGAAAGAGACGAAGTGGCACCACGGCCAGGCACATTCAGAAGAGAGGAATCCTATTCTGGAGCACACCTGGCTCTTCTCCAGCTGAGACCACCTTGTGGAGAGTGGCACTCCCTGCCTCCAGTCCAGAGGCTGGCAGGTAGAGAGACCACACAGAATTGGCCAGAAGGAGAGCAGGGCAGCTGCTGGGGTCCTACGAAGGCAACAGCAGCCCCTGCTGAGAGGACAAGAACCCTTTTTCTGTCTCAGGAAGTTCTGTATCTTGCGTGTTGTCTGGGCGTCTGTTCTGTTATTCTGTTATATTTTTGTTTTTTTATCCAGCCCATTGGGCACTGGACAGGAGACGAGTGTCTGACAAACATCTAGGAACTAAGCAGGGTTTAAAGGTTGGTGGAACCTGCACTCTGCCCCTGCCTGCCTCCTGGGGCAGTGGGGAGAGTGTTTCTGCTTGGAGGGAGGGGAACTGTTGCTTCCTCATTCGGGCTCTGATCCCACTGAAGAAAGTGTGCCCCAAGGATAATTAGATGAATTGTGCCGCTTCACGAATGCTTTCCTGGTGTGCTGTACGAAAAGCTCCCTGGAAATCAAAAAATGAGTGTAGCAGGGAGAAGGCAGGGCTAGAATTTGCTTTACTCTTCTCTACTTGCAGGGAGTTTATGTTCTCTTAGTTGTTGCTCTTGTTTGTTTTTACATGGGGGGTTGGGGAACATTCAGAAATGGTAACCTCCAGATACAGACTCAAATGGTACTGTCCCTTCTGCTTCTCCCGTGTAGATCAGGCCAAGAATGATCAGCTCTGCTAGGCTTCTAGTTTCAAGGTCTCATGCGGAAATCTGACAGAGCCAGTGACAGTTCCCAGTTCCTGTATGTGGTGCCTTTTGGGACTTAACAAAGTTGGAAGTGACAATAGCAGTTGCAGCACAGGAGCAGCCCTGAAGGGTTTCCAGATGCAGGAGTTTTCAGCCATAACTGAAATAATAAATTGTGTTTTGCTTTGTTCCTGTAAAGCCTGATTTCTATCTAAATTGATCGTGGCACATGTGAAAGCAGCAAATTCATGCAGCCACTTACTATGGGGGAAATGACACCACTTTGAGATGTCCCCTCCATTCTTCTGTAGTTACTTTGGATAGATTACTTTCCACTGGGTGGAATCAGGACACAGCCACATTGAGGATTAATTTTCAGTGGTCAAGAGTCTTTTCATTATGCCTCCCTACAGAATTAATCCAGCCCAGCCGTTGCTGCTGGGTCAGTTTGCCCCGAGGGGATTTGGGTGGTGTGCAGACGTCTCTCATTATAGTTGTCTACTCTCCACCTTACTAAATGGAGCTCAGGACCATCTCCAAACATCCTCCTCTGATCTTTGCCCTCCAGCCCTCAGCCCCCCAAAGGTCTCCTGCCCCCCCTTGCCTTTTGTCCTTGCTGCCCCTTCATGCCCCCTTGCCTGGCACTGTCCCCAGGGCCACCTGCCTAATGCCACCTCTCTTACTTCCTTCAAAACCTGCCTTCTCCTTGAAGCCTTTGGACACTAACAGCAGGCCACACAGCCATGATCCATTCATCCCCAGCACCACACATGCTGATGGGAGTTGTAGTCCTGTGCATCTTCTAGAGGGCACCTGGTTGGGGAAAGACTGCCCGGTAACAAAGCTTAAGCACCGGCGATTGAAATGCTGCACACATTTTACCTGTGTGCACCCCACCTCCCATTTTCCTTCCCTTCGTCTGCTTAGTGTCAAATGAAAAAATGTAAGCCCCTCAGGGCAGGGACCTGCCCTTTTGTAAAGCACCAATGCACATCAATGGCATTACATAAATACTACGGTTACTGCTAATAGTAACATTACAGGTACTGGCCAGTGGGTGCCCACCATGACTGGTCTTTTCCAAGGTTCAGCTGAATCTCTCCAGTAACCTGTGAGGAGTCCTGGGTTTGTGGCTTTTTTGTTTTTGGGAAACTTGTCCAAGGGCAGAAATAAGCTGTGTTTGCATGTGCCTGCTGAGGACTCTGCCCTCATGCTCTTAAAAGGTCTGTCTTCACATTCTGATTGACCCTCCAGATTCACTTCCTTTGATCTCCACTGAAACCTGTCAGAAACTCTTTGGGCTGTCCAGTGGCAGGAGGACCAGAAGGGGGTCAGGCATATTTAGCTCTGCAAGAAATGCAGGCATTTTGATGCTGCTGTCTCTGATCCCACTTTTACTTTCTCTTCACCCGGGCAGGTTGTTTTGTTGCAGAGCTGAGGAGCCTGTGACCCTCGGGATGTTGCTGGACTACAACTCCCATCATCCCTGACTATTGCGGGAGCTGGCTGGGGCTGTTGGGAAGTGAAATCTCACGGTATTTGGAGGGCCACAGAGTTCCCCATTCCTCTTACTAAAAGGATGAGGCATCTAATCCAGGAGAAGACACCAAATCCAGGGTAGGAGATAAGGAACCAAGGCAGGATGGGAGACACTGCAGCTGTATCACATCGCCCAAAGGTGTAAGAAGGTGCCCTTCTCCAGGCATAGGTCAGGGATCACTTAGCCCTTTCCAGCCACTGTCTGCTGGGACTGGGGAAGAGTTGCAGTCAGGTGGAGCTTAGATGATTCAGTCACTCTCGCTGTAGAGAGTCAGTGTTGCCTGTTCCCCAGAGAGTGTTCCCCTTGCATCTCTCAGCCCAATCTCATGGCTTATTCAGTGACCCTGGCGGAGTCACAGGTGCCTGCTTCTGTCAGAGTGTCTTTCACTTGAGGACTTGTGTTTCATGAGTCACAGTGTAAAGTACAATTATATATCTGCACAAAAAGCTTATGTGAAAATTGATGTAGGCAGAACGTGAACCTCTCTAAGTAGGAGTGTTTGGATGAAAGGCAATATTCATTCGCTGCAATTTCCCATAAACCAAAATGGAGTTGGAGTTGGTCCTAAGCCTGTTCACTTGGAAGCAAGTCCCACTGTGTTCAGGTGGGTTTACTCCCAAGTAAGTGGGTACAGGAGTGCAAAAAGTGATCTGAAATTCGGTCACCAGGTTTGGCTTGGGGAGGAAGGGACCATCGCACAGACTGTATGATTGTACCCAGATGTGTTGATGTTCTATTAAATGGTGTAACAGGATTGTACTTTTATAGCACAGCATTGCACTTCAAACATTGCAGTTTCTCATAGGAAACATGTTGGTGGGTAAAGACGCCCCAAGAGGTTTTTGTACCTGAAGTAGAAAATACAAATGGTGCCCGCTCCACTAAAAATATAGTTTTAAAAAACTGTCCTCAGTTGTTTTGCCTAGCAGAAGGCATGTAGATCACAAAGCTGATGAGAGTTGTGTCCAAAACTTCTGTAGGGCACTAAGCTGGCAAAGGCTGGCATATAGGAACTTCGCCAATTTCCAAGTGGCTGGGAGACTTTCTTGGCCCTCAAACCTCTTTTACAGGGCCAAAATTGGTTTGGGAAGGTGATGGGCTTGCAAGGACACCCAGGTTTAGAGCCAAGCAGTGTTACCATTTCCTTAGCAAGTTCATGGCTCTGGGCAAAGTCATGGACTCATAGCCCCAGTGGGACATCCATCAAGCATAAAATGAAGGGTTGCCAACATTTTGAATGCCATCTGTTGATATGCCTTCAACAGCAGCTCAATCTGAGCTCCAGTCAAGCTGCTGTGTAGGCACAACTGTAAGCCTGGCTGGTTCCCCTCCCAACTCTCAGTTGGCAACCCTGAGAGCACTGCAGATCTCCAAGTGGCTTCTGGCTCAGTCAGGCCGTGGGGTGGGGGTGGGGTAAAACCCACAAGGGGGCTATGTTCTGGTTTAGCTTTCTGGCCTCCTGTGGGATGACAACCTGTCTAGTATTCTAAGGGCAGCGTGGAAGGTTCGGCAGAAGGAAAGTTATCGAGTGTTGGAGTGGTGAAGTCAAAAAGTTCCAACAAGCAGAACACTAGCACATCAGGCGGAAAAGCAGGGAGAGGGCTGGGTTACATCTTTCTTCCCTGCCGAGCTAGTTCTCTGATTGCAGGGATTTGTTTATTTTTAATAAGAAAAAACTGTGACCACCCATCTCATGATTATTCTCCTGCATGGCCAGCCCAGTATTTCTTCATTCTCTTCCTGCATTTTCCTAAGCACAATTGACTTTGAAATGTTGGGTTAGGCTAGCAATACTTGATTCTGGAACTGTAACTGGGGCGAGGGGAGTAGTTCCTTCATTTGCTTTGTGACTGGTTTTTTAAAACTGCAGGGTCCCTTTTCCTGCCTCCAGGGCTATTTCCAACGGATGTCTGTGCTTCTAAGCAGCTTTAATTAGACTGTATATGTGTCTCATTTGAATGTAGCTTTTTGTCTGAGTTTTAAAATTTTGTTTCGTGTGGGGGGATTGTTGCGGTTTTTATTTCCCTTTTTAAAAAATATTGTTATTGTTATTATTATTCCTAAGGAAAGCACAATGGTTTTTCAACATTTGCCCCTTTGTGGGTGACATGATGTAATTTATTGTCTTTTTTCTGATTTTAAAATACAAACACTAAACCTAAGATCCTAGCTCCCATGAGGGAGACAAGCTTTTAAAAAGATTATTATTATTATGTAATAAATATTACCAAATCAAAGTGTGGTTGGAAATGTTGGTGACTTTTCTTTCAAAGCCTCTAAGTGGGTTTGCTCTCAGAGTCATAGGATAACAAGGCTGTGATCCTGCAGAAACATACCTGAAAGGGGGTTGCATAGAAGTCAGTGGGACTTAATTCAGGCTGGGCAATATCTGGTTTTCAACATCATGATATATCACCAGCTAAACACTGCGATATACTGAAATATCGTGATGTCTGATTTAAGGATGGAGGTATGGAGAGGCACTGACTGGCTCCATGGTTCTTCTCACATAGCATACACACAAATCATGATTTGTGATATAGCCAGGTCAAAAATTATGAAACCAATATCACAATTGGGACTTCCAACCGGCTTTGGACGATATATCACCCAGTCCTAGACTTAATTTCCAAGGCCACAATCCAATGGGGTTGGCAGCTTTTACACTTATCACTGCTCCTGTGCCTAAAATAACAAAAACAAAGCAGTAACAATGAAAAGAAACAAAATGGTGTGTGTTTTTATACTATTTTGGCCAGCCACCCCAGACAGGGACTGGAAACCAGGGCCACTAAAAAAAATTTAAACTGCTCCCCAATTTTGTTTTTAGTTCCATATAAATGACAACAGTGAGAGAGCTGATTGTATTTCCTGAGGAAGCTCCATAAATGTGGAGCCACCACTGAAAAGGCCTTGCTTCTTGTGCTCGATAAGCTAATTTCCCTTCCTGATATTCATCTCTGCAGTTAGCAGATTTGTCTACTTAAATTAGCAGCTGCTATTAAAGGCAAAGGAGGAAGCCAGGCTGAGTTTTTAATCTGGTCAGTTGACAGTCTTATTTCTGCACTGATTTTAAATGGTGCTCCAGTAGGGTTTGGGGTTTTTTGGCCTGGGTCTGTGCCGCTTGTCCTATCGCCTGTCCCGGGTGAACTGCAGTTCCCATTTTGCCTTTGGAGGAGACCTCATTTCAAAGCGTTAATCTGCATTGCTAGAGATAACTCTTGGCAAACTGAGCCCCCCTCTGAACCTCTGACAGGGAATGCAGATGTGGGCACATGAGGCAGGGCCTGGGGCCAGAGCTGGCTGTTTCCCATCCAGCAGCTGGCCAGATGTGTTCTGAACAGTTGACAGCATGATGGTCCTGCTCTACCTCTGGGGTCAGAGGCAATATGCAGGGAGAGTTTGCACTCTTCTCCTGCTTCTGGGCACCTTTTGCTATTACACTCCAGTGGTTGTACTGGTTTTGTTTTATGTTTGTGCTGTTGATATATAATAAAAAAAATTAAACACAGCAGAATGAGGGACAGATAAATCTGACCCACGGGCACAATGTGCCAGGGAGATCAGCTATCAAATGAAATCAGCTGGAGTTGCAGAAGAGCAGAGCAAGGAGAAAGTATCAAGAACTAGAAGACGACCCTGGACATGGCCAGTTTGAAAGGATCAGGTTTCTGCCCCAGACCCTCCTTCTTTTGAAGAGAGAAGCCGGATGGCTAATGTTCCTGGCTTCCGGGGGGGGGGGTGGACTTCCTGCTGTGTGGCATCTGCTTCAAGGTCCTTTTTGCTCTTTGGTGAGGAAGAGGAAGTTTGCGGGGTCAGCTGTAGAGGGTTGCAAGATCAGGCAGTCTTGCCAGGGAGCAGTTTGCACATCCCTCCTCTTTGAGGTTAAAGAGATTTGCTTGAGGGTCCCTTGCTGCATGGCCCCTCAAATCCTACAACTGGCACTGCAAGCAAGAAGGTCCCGGGTCCTTGCATATCCAGTTAAAGGAGCTAATGGGAGCTTCACACACACACATGCAAGTTGAAGGTGTAGGGTGCCATGATCTGCTTTGAGACCATAGTGGGGTACAATGGTTTAACCCCCCCCCCCGCCTCCTCCCATGTCAGGGTCCCAAAACTGGACCAGGAGCCTACTGCAATCTACTTTATAAAAGCCAGTTGCTAAATGTCTCTCCTTAGCCCTGAGGTTGCAGAGCTTTCTGAGTATATTTGTAAGCCTGCAGCAGAGGAAGAGAGAGAATCGGGGCACGCCATGACTCTGCTGCGAGTCCAGCAACATTTGGTCTCCCCTCACCTTAACGCTTCCCATTCCAGCTAGTCATTATAAGACCTTTGCAATTAAGAACCCGAGTCTGGATTTGCCCCCGCTTCTCACTCTCATTTCTTTTTCCTTTTGTGTTGTGTCTTTTGGACTGTAAGCTTGATGGCAGGACCTGTCTCTGTTAAGCCACCCCAGGAACCATTTTGCCTGAAGATTGGCTAAGAATGCTTTAAATAAATATATAAATATAATAAACCACAACTGTTGCCTCTCAGCAGAGACAATACCGGACTACATAGTTCGGATTAATGGTCTAACTCACTAAATGGCACTTCTTGTGTTCTCGTCTGGCCTGGTGCCTTTGACTCAGATTGTGTTCAACATATATTTGGAGTGGGCCTCTGTCTCCATGACTGCACACAGGCTTTATGTTCACAAGATCCAGCATCTCCAGTGAAGAGGATCTCAGACAGCAGCCCTGCGGAAGACCCTTGCCTATCATCTTGGAGGGGCAGAGCAAGTGAGAGGACCAATCCTCTGAGATGATAGGAGTCTGCTTCCAGTGTTGTTTGAGGAGAGGGATCATAGCACAGTGGGACAGAAATGGGAATGTAGATTGCAATTGTTGCTTGTGTATCCCCATAGGAATAGCCGGGGGGCAAGGGGGCAGCTGCCCCCCCCCCAGGTCCACAAATATTATTGAAAAGCATTGAAAGTACTCAATTATTTGAGGTACTGCCCCCTCCTAGAAGCAGCCTGCCCCGGTATTTTTACCCACACCTTCCCAAGAAACTTTGATTTCTTAAAAAAACAACTTTGGCTACTCTCCCCAACAAAAACCATGTCTGGAACAGAAAGCAATCCAGTGAAGTAATCCCCACTACTGCGGGGCTCAAATCCTCCGTGGCCCTGGGACCTGCTCCCGAGTAAACATGCAACTGGGTCACATAGGAAGGAGGGGGAGCAAGGGAGGGAGAAGCATCCTTCTGTACCGTTAAATGCTATTTGCACCTGTAATTCAGAGTAAGTACCAGTGAGCCGCACAGGGCTTTGCTCCTGAATAAGAATGCACAGAGTCTGAAGCGCCACAGCCCGGTGTTATTTGCGCTGGGTGGGGAGGGGGGGCTCAGAGCCAGGACTCTTCGTGACCCCAAGGACCAGAGCACACCAGGCACTCCTGTCTTCCACTGCCTCCCGCAGTTTGGTCAGACTCATGTTTATAGCTTCGAGAACACTGTCCAACCATCTCATCCTCTGTCGTCCCCTTCTCCTTGTGCCCTCCATCTTTCCCAACATCAGGGTCTTTTCCAGGGAGTCTTCTCTTCTCATTAGGTGGCCAAAGTATTGGAGCCTCATCTTCAGGATCTGTCCTTCCAGTGAGCCCTCAGGGCTGATTTCCTTCAGAATGGAGAGGTTGGATCTTCTTGCAGTCCATGGGACTCTCCAGAGTCTCCTCCAGCACCAGAATTCAAAAGCATCCATTCTTCGGCGATCAGCCTTCTTGATGGTCCAGCTCTCACTTTTACACATCTCTACTGGAGCCACGAAAAAGCGGCCCCGCCTCCCGAGACTAGCGCAGCGGAGGGACGCGGCCCCTTTAAATCGCAGCTCCCCCCCCCCCGCAGCCCCTCCCTCCTCTTCGCTGCCTTGTTTATAACACGGCGGCGCCGAACTTGCTCCCCGCTCCTCGGCCACGCCCCCTGCGTGCCCATTGGCTGGGCCCCTTCGGCTCCTGGCGCGCATTGGCCCGGGCGCCCGCAGGCAAGTTCGGAGGCGCCGGCGGCGGCGCGGTCAGCTGACCTTCGCGGGCGGCCCCTCCCCCTGTCGCTGCTGCTGCGGCTGCGGCGGCTCTGGCGATGGTGGGCAGCGGCCGAGGGCCGGGGGGGCCGCCGCTGCTGCTCCTGCTGCTGCTGCCTCTGCCGCTGCTGCCGGGCGGCCGGGCCGCGCTGGGGCGGAGGGGCGCGGCGGGCGAGCTCCGGGCCCGCGCAGCCACCCAGGCCACCGCTTCCTCCGCCGCCTCCGCCTCCGCCTCGCCCGGGGCCTGGGGCCCGGCGGGGGCGACGCCGCCGCCGCGGGTGATGGGCTTCCGGCTGGAGGAGGGCGCCTCGGCCGCCTGGGCTTCGGGGGGCCTGATCCGCGCCGCCCCGGGGGCCACGCTCCGCCTGCGCCTCTACGGCACCGGCCTCAGCAACCGCAGCTGGCCCTGGGGCGCCTTCGTGCCGGCCGAGGCCCCCTGCGCCCCCGCCGCCGCCTCCCCGCCGCCGCTGCTGCCCCAGGCGGCGCCCCAGGTCCTGGCTCAGGGCGCGCGGGCCGTGGGGGAGCACGCGGCGCTGGTGACGGTGCAGGTGGCGCCCGGAGGCCCCGGCGGCCGCTTCCAGCTGTGCAGCCCGGCGGGGCCCGGGCGGGCGTGGGCTCCGGCCGCCCCGGGCGACGCCATCCTGGTGACGGAGGACGAGGGCGGCGGGGGCAGCGCGGGGCGGGTGTCGGCCGTGGCCCTGGCGCCCTGGCTGCCCGCCTGGCTGCTGGGCTCGCTGGTGGCGCTGCTGCTGGCGCTGCTGGCCCTGCTGCGCACGCTGCAGCTCAGCACGCTGTGGCTGGAGCCGGCCGAGCTGTACGTGCTGCGCGACTGCGGCTCGGAGCGGGAGCGCGAGGCCTCCAAGGCGCTGGAGCCGCTCCGCCAGCGCGGGGCCTTCGTGCTGTGCTCGCTGCTGCTGCTGGGCTGCGTGGCGCACGCCGCCCTGGCCGTGCTCTTCTACCAGGCCGTGGGGATGCTGGCGCCGGCCGTGCTGGGCTCCGCCGGCCTGGTCTTCCTGCTGGCCGAGGTGCTGCCCTTCGCCCTCAGCTCGCGCTGGGGGCTCTCGCTGGCGCCGCGCGGGCTCTGGCTCACGCAGCTCTTCATGCTGCTCACTTTCCCGCTGTCGCTGCCGCTGAGCAAGGTGCTGGAACTGGCCCTGCAGCACGACACCAGCACCTGCCTCCTGCGGGAGAAGATCCTGGATATGGTGCGCAACAGTGACCCCTACAACGAGTTTGTTCGGGAGGAGTTCAGCAAGAGCGCCCTGCGCAACAAGACCGTGGAGGATGTGCTGACGCCGCTGGACGAGTGCTTCATGCTCAATGCCAACGCTGTGCTGGACTTCAACAACATGTCAACGATCATGCAGAGCGGCTACACCCGCATCCCCATCTACGAGGACGAGCGCACCAACCTGGTGGACATGCTCTACGTAAAGGACCTGGCCCTGGTGGATCCAGATGACTGCACCCCTCTCAGCACCATCATCAAATTCTACAATCACCCACTCCACTTTGTCTTCAACGACACCAAGCTAGACGCTGTGCTGGAGGAGTTCAAGCGAGGTAAAAGACATGCCCCTCAGTTAGGCCACTGACTTGGAAGGTCTGCCCAAGATTCTAGAGCCCTATTTCTCAACCTTGGGTCCCCAGCTGTTCTTGGACTACAACTCCCATCATCCCGGACCACTGATCCTGCTAGCTAGGGATGATGGGAGTTGTAGTCCAACAACAGCTGGGGACCCAAGGTTGAGAAACTTCTCTAGAGAGTCATTGCCAGGAGAATAGACAATTGGTTTTCAAACTATCTTCTGTGAAGCCCCAGTTCCTTAGAACAGACATGGGAAAGCTGCTTCTCTCCAGATGTCATTGGACTTGAGTCCATCAGTCAGCATGGCCAGTGGTGAGGGGTAATATTGCAGCTTCATCTGGAGGACCACAGGTTCCCCATACCAACTCCCACCACCCCTGGCTTGCTGGGGCTGATCCAAAATGTCTGGAGGGCACCAGGTTGGCAGAGGCTGAGTCAGGCAGTACAGCAAGAGCTGTGCCAAGTACCTCAGCTTTGCTCCAGGTGTTCTATGAGCCACATGAGCAGGCCAGGTATAAGCTGACAAGTGGGGCTTTTGTAGGTTTGGTTTTTTTGCTGCATAGATGTAGTGTCCAAGTTGCAGCCAATTTCAGCATCCCAGCAAATACACACACTGAGGTAATGGCCAGGGGCAATCATGTGGCAACCCTGTAGAGGTTTCATCTGCTTTCCTTCATGGACATGGACAGCTAGGGGTTTTAAATACGACTTCAGGCACCGCTAATGCATAGGAACCTCATTTCTTCTTCTCCCACCCCACTTGGTTTTATTATGCTTTCCTGTACAGTCATACCTTGGAAGTTGAACAGAATCCTTTCTGGAAGCCTGTTCGACTTCCAAAACGTTCAGAAACCAAAGCGTGGCTTCTGATTGGCTGCAGGAAACTCCTGCAGCCAATTGTAAGCTGTGGAACCCCCATTGAACATCCAGCTTCCAAAAAAACAAGGTACAACTGTATTTGGCTTAACAATCGTACCTTGGCTCTCAATCGCCTTGTGAGTCAAACGTTTTGGCTCCCGAACGCTGCAAACCCAGAAGTGAGTGTTCCGGTTTGCAAATGCGCTTTGGAACCCGAACAGCCAATTGGAAGCTGCGCCTTGGTTTCCGAACGTTTTCGGATGTTGAATGGACTTACGGAATGGATTTCGTTCAAGAACCAAGTTACGGTTGCAAATAAGTGTAGATATGTTACTAGTTCAGTAACTAGTCCTTTCCGGTCACCTGAGAGGCTGCAATAATGTCTCCAGCAATCTAGGCCTTGAACCTGCTGGAGTTAAGTGTGTAGGAACCGATTCTGCACTCAAGAACTTTTCTGGGTAAGCACAGGCCCTCTAGATGCCAAGCAGAACAAACTCTTTGACTTAAGAAACTTGACCTTACTATATGCATCGTGCATGTATAATCCTGTCTCTGGAATATATCACTTCTGAAAGGGCTCATATAATGGATTGTTCCTCTGAACCAGCAGAGCACCAACAACCACAGCAAAATGCTCTTCAAGTACAAAAAGGTGTATCTGGGAGGAAGCCAGGTCCAAACCTACCATGCTTCTATGGAGGAGCATTCCATCTTGTCATCTCCCACCTGAAGTGGTACAGTCCAGACACAGGTTGACCACCTCAAAGGCAGCAAGGCTAGTGGTTGCCCAGTGTGTAATGAACCACCCTCTGTTTCCATGGTAAACCTTCCCCCATGGTGGTCTGTGGGTAGGGCAAGAGGCCAGTTTTCCTCCCAACTTCAGAGCTGCAGAGAGGGCTGGATGCCATCCTGTTGGGTGGCAATCTCTGCCCCAGCTCCAGTTCTAAGGTGGCTGCAAAGGAAGGCTCTTGAGTTGTGTGGCAGCTACACAGAAAAGGAGCTTGGAGAGTCTTGGCTCTGCGGGGCCATATTGGCAAAGAAAAAACCCAACTGCTGTTATTGTTTTATTCATTTATGGAAGTACTAATTTATTTAAGTTTCAAGGCAACTTACCATCGTACAAAAACCCCAAAAACTAATGATAGGTCTAAAAACAATACAAATAAGACCCAAAGTAGAGACCTAAAAACATTATTTTCAGAAGGCTGATTTGAAAAGTTAGTGGCAACAATAATGTCACTTCAGTTGTTTCCGTAAACAGGGATCATACCTCAACAGGGATGCTGTTCTGCCAAGCAGGAGAAGCCCCACTGAAAGCCCCACTCCAGGTTGCTGTGGGGTGGGCTTCAGATACTTAAGGGACAGTAAGGAGAGGGATTCCCACAGGACGCAGTGGCTTGCTGGGTGTAGAAGGAATGAGGCAGTCTCTCAGGTCACCTGGTTCCAAGCTGTACAGGGCCTTGTGTGATGGGATCAAAACCTTGAACCTGGTCTGGTGCTCCTGGTTTTCCCTGCCCCAGAGCAGAAAGGAAGGCAGCAGTGGGTTGGATGCCACTGTTGAAAAGTGCTCTGCGTGTCCCTTCTCTAAAAGCAAGCGGTGCTCTAGTCATCTTCCAGTGCCCAGCTGCCCATTCTCCTCCCCGCCCCTTCCCCTAGGAAAAATCACAAGGAGTTTTAGGATTTTCTGTGCATATGCATCCAGAGCACCTTTAAGGGACCAAACCAACAAGCTTCCCTTGCTTGGAGTGCCTGTAGCATAGGTTGTATCCGCCTAGGCTTTCCTTGAGCAGAGAAATATTCTTGTTTTTAAACTAGTAGGCCTTCCCCAAGACGTTTATCTCCTTTTCCTCCCCTAGCCCTTCTCCCTCCTGAAGCATTTGGCAGGAATAGCTGGGTGGCACCCGTGACCTTTGCATACCTGCAGGGATCTGGCTTGCCCTGCTGAGAAACAGAGCAGCCAAGTTCACGGGTTCAGTTCTCCAGCCTTACCACTTCCAAGCAGGCCCCAGGCCATTTTATTCTGGGAGAATAAGCCTCCTAAGAATCTTACACATCCAGCCCTCCCTTCCTCCCTCCCTCCCTCCCCCTCTCATACAGACAGATTGGTTGTCCTTACAACTAAGAAGCTGCTTTCCCCTTCTCCTGGCATGTGACGAAAATGAACAGCTTTGCCCCCTTTCACCTCAACCTTTGGAACAAGATTGGCTCCTCCGTCTCCATCGCCTCCTTTCTGTGCTGCCTTTCATTTTGCTTATTTGTTTAGAGCAGAAATGAGGGAACTGTGGCCCTTCAGATTCTGTTGCATTATCAGCTGCATCGCCCTGACCGTTGTTAATGATGGCTGGGGCTGATGGGAGTTGTAGTTCAGCAACATGTGGTGGGGGGGCAAGGTTTTCTGCATGCATTTGTACCCAGCTCTTCAGCCATAAGGATCCCAGAGCAACCTATGGACAAGTCAGTCCCTGCCCACAGGCTTTGCAATTGTTGAGACATGACACACAAGTAAAAAGGGACAGGGATCAAGAAAGTGGGGGTGCAGACTGCATGTCCCAGCACAGCCTTGGGAGTTAGAAATCCACAGTGGTGGGAGTCTGATCCTGCTCTAGTAGCACATAAACAAGGAGTAGCACACAGGAGAAAGGGAGAGGCACAATAAATCATTGACAACATTGTCCAGCCTTCCCCAGCCTGGTGGCCACCAGATGGACTACAGCTCTTATCAGCCCAAGCCATGGCCGTGCTTGCTGGGGATGAAGGGAGCTGTAGTCCAAAGCACCCAGTGATCGTCACGTTGGGGAGCGGTGGCCTAGTCTGGCAGGCAGCTTTCAGGGCTATTGGACAAAGGCCTCGCCCAGCTCTGCTACTGGAGATCATTTTAGAGAGACCCTCGGAACTGAACTGGTGTCTTCCTGGTTGCAAAGCAGTTCTTCTACCGCTCAGTTGTGGTCATTGTCACAAACCCTGCTGGGTGAGTCCAGTGGCCTACTCAGTCCAGCATCCTGTCTTTGCAGTGGCCAAAGAGTTGCTCATGGGAAACCCTCACACAGGACTTGTGCACAAGAGCCCCCTCCCCTCCTGTGGGTTCCAGCAACTGGCATTCAGAAGCAGTGCTGCGTCTGACTCCTGTGGAGGCAGAGCAGAGCCATCAGGGCTAGTAGCCAGTGATAGCCTGATCCTCCTCCATTACTTTGTCTAATCTTCTCTAATTCACCCACTTGGTGGCCATCACTGCTTCCTGTAGTTTAACTGTGTGCTGCAGGAAGAAGTGCTTGCTTTCATCTCTCCCAAACATTCTCGGGGTGTTGAAGTCTGTGGCCAGTTCCAACCCTGTTGCCTCTTCTGCCATTTCTGTTCAGGCATCTTTGAGGGTGGCAGAGCAGACCCTGGAAGCAAAACCCACCAGGATAGGTGGGAAATCTCAGTCCCAGGGGCCAGGCATGGATGTCCAGATCTCTCTGTTTGGCCCTTGGAACTCTTTCCCCAGGCCACACCCTCACTTGTGTCTTTTTCCTGGCTTGAACATGGCCTTGGGCTGTGATTTATATCTCTCTATTTATTTGTTTATCAAAATTTATATACAACTTGATTGTAATAAAACCTCGAAGTGGTATACAAACTTTTAAAAGGTAGTTAAAATTAACAATTGACTAAAAAGAGATTAAACCACATGTCAGTATTCTACATGCCTGGGTAGGAATGCCTAGGGAAGATGTTTTAAGCAAGCACTGAAAAGGGCACTGCCAGGGCGCCTGTGTGAAGGCAATAGGCAGGGAAGTCCAAAGTATAGGTGCTGCTATTCCAAAAGATGGATTCTTCCGAGTGCAGAATGAGCTTGCTTGTCTCTAGATGAATAAATGGTGTGTAGAAAATTCTGGTCTTTATGTGGCTGGAATGGAGAAGAACCACATCTATGGCTCTGCCCACTGTTGGGCCTCTTGCTCCTCCCACCCTGGGAGGTTGCCCAGGAGAAAATGCCACCCCTGGGGTGAAAAATGTTCCCCATTCCTGCAGTAGGAATTTCTGCTGCACCTGCTGCTCTTGCACAGCTCCTGTTCAGTTCACTGGTGCTCACTCAGGAGAACTTTCAAGTGCATTGTGCCCCATGTTAACATGGGGTGCCGTTGGGATTTTCCTCCTTGGGCACCAGTAATCCTAGCCCCTGCAGCTGCTCTCTCTTGAGTTCATTCCACTAAACTGGAGGAACCCCGATGGAAAACAGGGTTCTGCCGCTCTCTTCGACTCCCTCCTGTCCTCAAACAAGGCCAGAAGCAGGCAGCCTTGGTGTAGGAGGTAACATTGCCAGCCTTTAAGGAGTTCAGAGTGTTTTCAAAGGAAGAAAACAGCTACCTTCTAATGCTGCAAAGGGCTCTGGTCGCTCCAGGTGGCACGTGGCCAGAACTAGCAGATGGGGGCAAATTCCAGGGAGCCAGGCGTGGTCTAAAAACCTTGAGAAGCTCATTGAAGAGAGAGATGGGCTGTTTGGAGCCTTCACGTGAATGGCCCTGCAGGAGATCCTTGGAGCCAGCAGGGGGACATTCCACTTGTTTTGCATTGCTCCAGCCTTGTCTGGGTGCGAGCCGGCAGCCTCCACAGAGAAGCCTATGATCTGAGCCAGTCTGTGGGTGCAATATTCTCCTAATCTGTCATCAGAGCAATTGGCTGGGCTAGAGGATATGTTTTAGCTAGTGAGATGAGGTTTGCATTGTTCACTTTGTATTTAAGAAATCCAAACAGCAAAAACAAGGATACATCTAATGATCCACTAAAAGTGAAACGGCGGGGTCAACAGCAGCAGCAGCTTTAGAGCAAGACTCCCAAGAGACTGAGATTGCTAAATGCTTGGGGAAATTAAAAGTTTTCACCTGGCGCTTAAATGATGGCATAGTAGGCACTAAACAAGTATACCCTCCCTCAGACCACATTCAGAAGGTGGGCTGTTAGTGCCTATAAACAAATGGAGAGGGTATTTCATAGTCAGGCTACCTGACTATGTCTCTGTCACAGGAGAGACTGAGCCCAAATTGGTGGCTCAGTTGATGGAGGACAGAGCTATCTGTGGCTACTGCCCATCGCTCCCTGTGCACTACCTCCAGCATCGGAGGCTGTTTGCCTCTGCATACGGCTTGCTTTGCAGCAGGCTTCCTATTGGGGTGCCTGGTTGGGCACCGTGGAAACAGGATGCTAGATTGGCCTTTGATCTCATCCAGTAGGGCTCTTTTCATGAGGAAATCAATATAGTTCTTTCCCTTTGCCAACCTGGTGCCCTCCCAAATATTTTGGATCACAGCACCCACCAGCTGCAGCCAGAAAGTGCCAAATGTGTGTTGCAGGCCGGAACATCTGGGGGGCACCAGGTTGGCAAAGGTTTCTGTACCTCCATGTACTGCACCAGAAAACTTAGGACCCTGCCTTTGGAATGTTTGGCGCAATTGTGCATGGACCGCCTGTTTCCATGCTATTATTCTATTTGCGCATTTAATTGTCAGGTGCTGAGTGGTAGGAATGTGAAATAGGAGGTGCTGGATGTTGCTGGAGGTAAAGTAGATGGGCAAGGATGGAGACTGTTGCCCAGCCAGGAATCCAGGACTGCATTTTCTGTGGTTGCTTGGTCTGTCCAGGTAAAAATGCAGCCCGATGGGCCTGGGAACCTTAGCTACTCAAAGCCTGCACAAACCACATTATGTTTTGAACCAGATGCAGGAATATTTTTGTCTGCGATGCTTCTCCTCTCTCTGTTTTTATCTTGTGTTTGAAGAGGGTCTTGTGGCAACCTCTGCCCATTTCTTCTTCTTAACGGTCTTGTTCTTTACCAATCCCCGCCCTGTTCCTTTTCCCCAGGTAAATCGCACATGGCGATTGTTCAGAAGGTAAACAATGAAGGTGAAGGCGACCCTTTCTACGAAGTCATGGGCTTGGTGACATTGGAAGATGTCATTGAGGAGATAATAAAATCAGAGATCATGGATGAGTCAGATGACTACAGTAAGTGGGTTTCGTGCAGGTATGGCCTCTTTGGGGCTTCTCTTCTTCCGCTCCCCTCCCTTTTTGTTTAGCAGAGACATGTTTTAAACCTCCCTTCCCCTGTCAGGAGTGGACTTGCATCCTAGGTGGTGGTAGCTGCTTAATTTGCTGGTTCAGAAGTGTTATTTTTCACCTTTGTTGGAAGTGGTGCAGTTTACCACCTCATTTTGCTGCGTTTATAGTCCTCCTATATAGCTACTAAGTTGGTGGGGTAGGATTTATACAAATTCCTTTTCCTACTCTAGAATTGGGAAATAGCTTGGTCTATTTATGCACGCGGGAGGATGAGGCAGTAGAAAGCTGAGATGGTAAAATGGGGGCTGCATCAGGTCAAGTTGCAAGAAGGGGATTACAGTTTTGGATGCGTCTCTTGACTTACTTAAAAACAATTGCAATTAAAACACTGGCACTAGAAAAGGTTCTCCTGCACACTTTTGTCTGTTGGAGTGGTTCTCCATTTGACATAAACTTTTCGTGTAGGAGAGCAAAGGAAAGTGATGACTGACGTGTGCCCTGAAGTTCACTCAGCCAACGGGTTCTGCTGCAAATCTGTTCACAGCCGGGGGAAGAAAAGCCCCAGAGCCCCAGCTCAGAACCGGAGGCAGTGTGTAGCTGCTGTCACAAGTATTTCACTCAGGAGATGGCAGTTCTGTACTGCTAATAAATGGACGTGTGCCCTGCAGGGAGATTTGTATTTGGAGAAGCAGGGAGCACGCTGGGGTGCCATTGAGCATGGGGACTCCTCTGCAGTGGAAATTCCATGGAATCAAAGGTCCAGTGTGTTGGAGATAACTGATCGCCCTCAGAGTGCAGTGCATTGCTTGCCCTTTTTAGGTAGTTGCAGCTGGAATGACAACTGGTGGTAGTTACTAAAAAATGGCAAGGAAATTTGTTTAGTGCTCAGACTACACATTTTTATTCCTTGGACCATCAGCGATTTTCATTTCCTCTTTACACCTAGGGCTGTGTGTGTGTGCCTAAATAAATAAATCAAAAATCTGTACCAAGCTATCCTAACTTTTCCACCCTGAATAAATACTGCATAAATTTTCCACGCTGAATAAATACAAATTCACACAAAATAGGCTCACTTTCTGGGCTGCATCATAGTGGGGGGGGGAGAGTTGTACACATGTGAGCAACATGGGTTAGAAACTTGGGGGGGGGGATATTAAAACTAAGATTCCCAGGAAACTCAGTTCTGCAGTCATAAGTATTCTGCATTTTTTCCTGTACTTGTGCAGAATTGTTGAAATCCCTACCGCCATGTTTTAGAAGAGAACCCACCAGTGCTAGTAAGGATGGATGGCTTGATTCTTCTGCCTCCTGTTGTCTTTTTTGGCTTTCTCTCCCATCCCTCTAGGGGAGAACAAATTGAAAAAGAAGCCGCCTGCACTTGGGACCTTGATGGACCGCAGGAAAGAAGATTTCTCCTTGTTCAAAGTGTCCGACAATGAGTACAAGGTGAAAATCTCTCCCCAGTTACTCCTGGCTACGCAGCGCTTCTTATCCAGAGGTAAGAGCAGGGAAGAGATCTTGCTGTCTGGCAGTTTTTGTTCCTTCCCTCCACCACCACCCCCTTCCACCATCTCTGCTCAAGGGGCTACACTGGGTTTGGATGCTTATTCCAAGGTTTATTTTCCCTCTGAAATGTGTGTTTTTAATCCAGTTAAGTGGCTGATAACTGTGTTACAAGGATGGGAGATGCTCAAAGTCCAGCTGAAAGCTATGTCCCAGTCTGCAGATTAGTCCAAGAAGCAGGGAGCGCACCATGTCTTACAGCAGCTCTCCCCAACCTGGTGCCCTCCTGATGTTTTACACCACAGCTGGCATTTGTGCTGGCTGGGGCTGGTGGAAGTTGTAGTCCCACAGCATCTGATGTATGCCTCTGATGTATTGAAGAAGGCTGTCATTAGAGCATGTTAATTTTTTCATTTTTCAAATTCCCAAAATGAGGGGTGCTAAAAAGTTGCAACATAACTTGGAAATTCAAAATATATTTCGGTTATGTTAATATAATTTTGTTTTGCTTGGTAAGTAAAATGTGTGTAAAATTGCATAGAAATCATTAAAAATGATTGCCAAGTACTTGCAGTTATGGCATGTATTCAGATTATTCATTATTATTATTCTTATTATTTACCATTACCTGACATTTTCAGAAGGTTTTCGGAAAGCAGTTTATGTGCTTCTTCATTAGATGTAGACTTATCAAGCTAAATGTTGTCCATTCACAAAAATGACAGATTTGAATTCCTCACAACCAAAAACATATTTTTAAGACCTCTCACTGAAGAAATTAAGTTTCACCCCCTAAAATCACATGCCCTGTATGCCGTATGGGAATTTGCAAATACAGAAGTTGTTGAGCATCCCTTTCAGCAGCTAAGAGAGAGGATTGATTTTCATGCTCCCTAAGGACAGCACAGCAACGAAAGCCCCTCTGCAGATGCAAGACCACACACTATATTGCTGTATCCTTTATTTAACCGTCTCTTTTGTCTGACGAGGGACGCAGGTGGCGCTGTGGGTTAAAGCCTCAGCACCTAGGACTTGCCGATCGAAAGGTCGGCGGTTCGAATCCCTGCGGCGGGGTGCGCTCCCGTTGTTCGGTCCCAGCGCCTGCCAACCTAGCAGTTCGAAAGCACCTTCGGGTGCAAGTAGATAAATAGGGACCGCTTACTAGCGGGAAGGTAAACGGCATTCCGTGTGCTGCGCTGGCTCGCCAGATGCAGCTTCGTCACGCTGGCCACGTGACCCGGAAGTGTCTTTGGACAGCACTGGCCCTCGGCCTCTTGAGTGAGATGGGCGCACAATCCTAGAGTCGGACACGACTGGCCCGTACGGGCAGGGGTACCTTTACCTTTACCTTTACCTTTTTTGTCTGACGAGAGCCGGAGACTGAAGGGTCTCTTCCTCAAACTGATACATTTCAAGGCCATGCTGAAATTTAAACATATTCCACAAAGGGGCAGTGCTAGTTGTTGGACTACAACTTTCATCAGCCCCGGCTGGCGTGGCCAGTGTTCATGAATGAAGGAAGTTATAGCTAATGTTCTGAATGAGAGCCAGTGTGGTTAGAGTGTCAGACTAGGGTTCAAATCCCCTGCATGGCCATGAAGCTGAGTGAGTCATTGTCTCTCAGCCGAACCTGCCTTACAGGGTTGTTGTGAAGATAAAATGGAAGAGAGGAAGAACCATGTATGACACCTGTTCTCCTCCCAACTTGGGGAGAAAGCGGAGGCCGTGTGGCCTCACATCGCCACCTCCATTGGGCTGCTGTGAGTGAATAGGGCCTTTTTGGTGGCAGCACCTCCCCAGACCCACTTGACTGCTCTGTATTCTTCTAACCTTTAAGGCACCAGGTTAAAATTTTATTCTCTCAGGCATTTAATGAGATGACTGTTTGCTATGCTGGGTCTTTTGTACAGCAGTTTGTTCTTTGTTTTGTTGATGTTGAATCCTAAATGTGAAGTTTCTCCTTTTATTCTTTCTGCCTATTTTTACTGTTGTTTGATTTCTAAATTTCTAAGCCTGAACTGGCTGATGCTACCTTTTCTGTCTCCTCCACACGCTTCCCTGCAGAGGTAGATCTCTTCAGCCCAGCCCGAATCTCTGAGAAGGTCCTGTTGCACCTGCTGAAACACCCCAGTGTCAACCAGGACGTCAAGTTTGATGACAGCAATCGCCTTGCTGCTGAGCATTACCTCTACCAGCGCAACCAGCCGGTCAATTACTTCATCCTCATCCTGCAGGTACCACACTTCAAACATGTGGCCCCCAAAGTCCCCATCTGGCCCTTACAATACCCCTCGCTGGCCCCACTTCACACAATCCTCAAATGTAGGGTTATATATAAAAAGAACACTATACAGTGGTACCTTGGTTGTCGAACTTAATCCGTTCTGGGAATCTGTTCGACTTCTGGAACCATTTGAAAACCAAGGCTCGGCTTCCGATTGGCTGCACTCAATTGGAAGCCACATTGGACGTTTGGCTCCCAAAAAAACGTTTGCAAACCAGAACACTTGCTTCCGGGTTTGCGGTGTTCAGGAGCCGATTTGTACAGGAGCCAAGCCCTTCGGGAACCAAGGTACCACTAGGTATGTATGTATGTATGTATGTATGTATGTGTATATATATAGAGAGAGAGAGAGAGAGTGGGGGGGAGAGAGAGGGAGAGAGAGAGAGAGGTTTTATCCCCCCCCTTCCTCCTAAGAGCTCATGGTTCTTGCCTCTCCTCCCATTTTTATTTTCACAACTACTTTGCTTGGTGGATTAGGCAAAGCAGCTGGCCCAAGGTCACCCATTAAATTTCATGGCTGCACAAGGATTTTAACCCAGATCACCCCAGCCCTGGTCCAGCATTCTAATCACTGCACCTCTCTGCCTGTTCAGCTGTGAGACAGGCAGAAATAATGCAGGTAGAGCATGCAATGAAGTCGGGGGGAAGGGAAAGCTTTACCCTTCGAGTCAGCCTGGCGTGCAGCATTGGGGTAATATAATAATAATAATAATAATAATAATAATAATAATAATAATAATAATAATAAAATAATTTATATCCCAGCCTCCCCAGCCAGAAGCGGGCTCAGGGCAGCTAACATCAAAATATACAATATATTAAGACATAAAATTCAGCAATCGACTGAAATACAGCTTGAAATCGGATTAAAATCAAAATAAGAACAGTTGGCTACCCAATAATAATAAATTTTATTTAGAGTTATTTAGAGTAGAGTTAAAGGTGCCTTAGTTCAACCCCTGGATCCACTGTGAATCCACAGGTGACCTTGGGTCAGTCCTTCTTTTTCTCCAGCATAGCCTACCTCACATGGCTGTTGTAAAGATGAAATTCATGCACAGGAGCACTGTGGCAACATCTTGGTCTACAACCTCCCATTTCAGATACTACTGCCATACAACTTTGTTTACAAATACTAATGGCATGTGATTTTTTAATATATTTTTTGCATTCTCTATCCTCTTACCCCCCCCCCTCCCCTAAGGAGACCAAGGTGGAACACATGGATCTCCCCAGCCCAAGTTTTCCCCTCACAACAACCCTGTGAGGTAGGTTAGGCTAAGAGAGAGTGAATAGCCCCCGTGCTGCCCAGTGAGCATCCCAGGAGAGCGGCAGTGAAGTCTAGCGGAGGACAAACTCAGGTCCTCGACTCTCTTTTTCTGTGCAGAAGCCATGAGGTGACCTGCCAGGCTTATTGACAGAGTCGCCTTGCACTTGCAAGGAATGAGGTGATAGCAGTTGCTTGTGATTGATTAGCATAAAGGAAATTGGAGAATGAGCAGAACATCCAGCCAGAGGCAGAACCCTTTATTTTGTTCCCTGCTTCCAACTAACCATTTTCTTTCTTTGCGTTTCTAATGAAATCTAAAGGTTTCACTGCAGCTGACAGGAGAGCTTTTGTTAAAGCTTATATGTTTTGCAAAATAATTTTTTCTGTGACTCTCAGCTGATCCTAATTTTGCTCTGTGGGTGCAGTGCATGTGTCTGTATGGACAAACAGAGGGGCTTGCACTTTGGGGCAAATTCTTGGAGGATAAGGCTAGCCACGGCTGCTGCTAGATGACAGCTATGTGCCGCCTCTCGCACTGGAAACGGAAGGCTTCTGCATACCGCTAGCTGGGGAGCGCAAGGGAGCGCAGTTGCTCTCGTGTCTGGCTTCTGCCCAGAGGTCGACCTCTCTGAGAACAGAAGGATGGACTAGATGGGTCTTTGGTCTGCTCTGGCAGGGATCTTCCATCGTCGGAGTAGACTCTCCACAGGGCCATTGCAATGAGCCTCAGCACTGCACGATTCACCGCTGCCTCACAGGAGAGGGGATTTATACCTGGGCTTCCTGACAGCCCCCGCCATCCTCCATCATCATCATCATTTATTTATTTGTATACTGCCCTTCATTGGAAGGTCACAGGGTATTGCTGGACATCGCCATCACTTTTATGCCAAGGCATCCAGGACTTAGCTATTAACCCGAACAAATGGTACCAAATAGCTCTGGCTCCCTATCAGTGGGATGCTCTCCCTGGGCTGACTCCTTTTCAGCCTTCCCCCCCCCCCCCGGAGGCCTTTGGATAGACTGAGATGCTGCTGCTGTTTCTGGGGCGCTGGCAAATCTTCCTGAGGCTGTGGTGGGGGTGGTTCTGTTTCTGTGCTGTAACATACAGTGGTACCTTGGTCTACGAACAGCCTACTTTCTGAACTTTTTGGATTACGAACACTTCAAACCCGGAAATGAATGCTCCACATTGCGTTTTTTTTTGGGGGGGATTGCGAGCATACTCCGGGGTGCAGTTCCATTTTGTCGGCACAGCCTTCTGCCGCTCAGCCCCAGCTGCGGCAGCGTCACAGCACTCCCCAAGGAGTAGAGATTATCGGTGCGCCTTTGGCCTCCTTCTCCCCCGAGGTGCACTGGATTTAGGGACTTGCTTGCGAGTCAGCCTGGCAGCTCCACCGAGCACGCTGTTGCTGACACGGACTGGCAGCGGCTCCCCGGGGTTTTGGGCAAGGAACGGGCTCCCTCTTTTCCCCGGGCCGACAGCAACTGGCGTCTCTCTCTCTCTCTCTCCATCTTCCCCGGCACTGGGTGCTTCTGGGTGGCGCTGCCCCAGAAGTGACTGCTGTAGCATTGCCTCACAGGGTGCAGGACGGCATGGGCAGGATGCTGGTGCCACCACTGCAGTAAGGGTTTTTATACTGGGTAGTAGATTGCAGCCTGCTCTATTGCTTTCATTTTATGTATTAATGGCCTCGTTAGATAGTAAAATTCATGTGAAATTGCTGTTTTAGGGGTTGCTTTTCATCGTCTGGAATGGATTAATCTGTTTTACATTACTTTCTATGGGAAAGCACGCCTTGGTTTAAGAACGCTTTGGTTTAAGAACAGACTTCCGGAAGGGATTATGTTCGTAAACCAAGGTACCACTGTATTTCAGTTCACATTTTTAAATGGAGCAGGGAGTGGATGTTTCCAGGCGCTTCCCTCTCTTAAGAACTCTGTGCTGACTAGGAAACCTTCGCGGCAGAAGACTGCCCAGAGACCTCTCTCTCTGACATGCTTCACACGTGAGGCAAATGCCCAGCAATAGGGCTCCTCACCCCAAGTCCAAAGTGGTGCAGTCCATCGTGCTGCCTCATGAACCACCACCACCTCCTCCTCCCCCTCCTCCTCCTCCTCCTGCCTGCTCCTGCTGTGGGGTGGGGGCACCCCAGGGGTCCCTGACCAACCCGACCCCTCCTCACTTTGGGTAAGAAGCCAATGAAGAAAAGAAGCGCCCCGTTGCCTCCCAGTGAGAGTTACTCACCTGTGGGACACAAAGGACCCTGTTGGGTTGGGGGAGGAACAGACCCAGTGTTGGGGGTCAGCACCTGCAGGCGTCTGCCGAGGGTCATCCCAAGCAGGGGGCCCTCTGCCGTGGCCACAGCCCTCCTGCTCTGCCTCCTCCCTATCAGCTGCCCCCTCTAAGCCAGTGAGCAATGAGGGGCGGCAGGAGGGCCAGCCTCACCTTGCTCTTCCCTGAGCCCCAAGACAGAAGGGGCTCCTGGGGGCAGCAGGAGAAGGAGGCAGTCCACAACGGGAGGCTGAACCTCTGGTGGAGGGCGGTGCAAAGAGCAGAGCCGGCTCTGCCATTAGTCAGAGAGTGGCAGAAGATGCTGGTGGGCACAGCACTGGCTGTTCTTCTTGAGCACCCTGACTTTCCCCTTCCATTGGAGGGCGGAGCTATGTGTGCCACGCAGCCTGCCCTGTGCTCCCAAAGCTGAGATGCTGCCCCCTGGTGTGGTGGAGGACATGCATTTAAAGTACACACCCCAGCACACAAGAGTCCTGGGAACTATAGTTTGTTGAAGGGACTGGGAATTGTATCTCTGTGAGGGGGACGATCTGCAGTTCCCAAGGTTCTTTGCTGTGGGGCTTGGGAACGTGCATTAAATGCTCAGCATATTCGCAGCCACGGTCCAGTATTGAAATATGAGACATTTGAATGGCCACCCAGCACCCCCATGTGTGGGGACTACCCCCCACCCTATAGCAGCTGCTCAAAGGTGCTGGGTGCTGTAGGCACCCCACGCAATGAGGGGGGCAGTCTCTTGAATTGGCTGCTACTTTGTGGGCAGGCAATGTTGAGAAAGAGGGGCAATTCTAGCTTACGGTTGAACTTAGTGCCAAATGTGGGGACTTTTGAAAGCCTTTTCCCCACATTAAAGTGTACAGATCAAGGACAGCTGGCTTTTGGTATTCTCTGAGAGACAATTCCACAGCCAGAACCATAACAGTCTAAAATGCTTCCTTCACTGAGTGGTGATGCATTGTTTCTAAGAGTGGTTCACCTACTAGCTTGGCCATTGCAGGGAGATGCACTTGGAATTGCAGCCTTCGCCAACTTAGTGCCCTCCAGATGTTGTAGGACTACAACTCCCATCAGCCCCTAGCCAGCAGCCGCTGAGTTGTGGTCCCACAGCACCTGGAGGGGGCCAGATTGGCCAGTGCTGCCATATGGAGTCATCAGCTGACGTGGGACTGAGAACCACACGTGCCTCTGCAGGAATCTGCAGTCTTGTCACTGCCTCTTGCCTTACGGAATTCGGGAAAAGAAAGAGAAAATCTGCCCTTGCAGGTGGAACTAAGGAAGGGGTGTTAGCAGGTTAACCACACCCTCATTAAAATTTGGTGTGGAGTAAAGTTGGCTTAGGACAGAGGTCCCCAGCCTTTTGGGCACAGGAGCACATTTGGAAACCTAAGAATTTGTTCTGGGCACCACAGAATATCCATTTCACAAAGGAAAAACTGGTGTTGCTCAGAACACACTCCAGCACCTCCATACACCCCAAAACAAAATGCAGGCCTCCCAAAAACTGCTCAAATAAAATAAAATGGGAGTGTGTCAAGGGGTGCCCACAGGGGCCATATCAGGGAAACCATAATCCTGCAGTAACCTTTGCCAGCCTAGAACTGTATCCAACGCTGGCCATCCAATCTAATGCTCAGAATAGACCCACGGAAATTAATACACACAGCTAACTTAAGTGCATCAATTTCATTAGGTCTACTCTGAGTAGAACTTGGTTGGATACAAAAATTAGTGTTTTTGGACCTCCACTCGGATCAGCCCCAGCTAGTATGCCTGTGCTTGCAGGGGTCTGGAGGGCATCAGGTTAGCAGAAGCTGCCCAGTACAAACGCCCCCCCCCCACGAGAAACTTCCATGGCGGATTAGTGGCCATTTAATAATAATAATTTATTATTTATACCCCGCCCATCTGGCTGGGCCTCCCCAGCCACTCTGGGCGGCTTCCATAAAAACCAAAAATACAATAAAATATCACATGTTAAAAACTTCCCTGAACAGGGCTGCCTTAAGATGTCTCTTGAATGTCAGGTAGTTATTTATCACTTTGACATCTGCTGGAAGGGCGTTCCACAGGGTGGGCGCCACTACCGAGAAGGCCCTCTGCCTGGTTCCCTGTAGCTTTGCTTCTCGCAATGAGGGAACCGCCAGAAGGCCCTCGGCGCTGGACCTCAGCGTCCGGGCAGAATGATGGGGGTGGAGACGCTCCTTCAGGTATACTGGACCGAGGCCGTTTAGGGCTTTAAAGGTCAGCACCAACACTTTGAATTGTGCTCGGAAACGTACTGGGAGCCAATGCAAGTCTTTCAAGACCGGTGTTATATGGTCTCGGCGGCCGCTCCCAGTCACCAGTCTAGCTGCCGCATTCTGGATTAGTTGTAGTTTCCGAGTCACCTTCAAAGGTAGCCCCACGTAGAGTGCATTGCAGTAGTCCAAGCGGGAGATAACCAGAGCATGTACCACTCTGGCGAGACAGTCCGCAGGCAGATAGGGTCTCAGCCTACGTACCAGATGGAGCTGGTAAACAGCTGCCCTGGACACGGATTTGACCTGTGCCTCCATGGACAGCTGTGAGTCCAAAATGACTCCCAGGCTGCGCACCTGGTCCTTCAGGGGCACAGTTACCCCATTCAGGACCAGGGAATCCTCCACACCTGCCCGCCTCCTGTCCCCCAAAAACAGTACTTCTGTCTTGTCAGGATTCAACCTCAATCTGTTAGCCGCCATCCATCCTCCAACCGCCTCCAGACACTCACACAGCACATGAACCCTCCAGGGGAAACTGTACCTGCCGTATTCTGTAAGATACTGTTGTGTTAACGTCTTCCTTTATACTGACATCAGTAACTTTCTGACTCTCCTCTTCAGGGCTTATATGAACTTTGCTATTGTTATTTAGATCTGAACTATGCCTTTAGGTTGGGTAAAAGGTGCTTAGTTTGTTACTTTTCTCTTTTTAATGCATAACATATTAAAACTTTATTTTTTGCAACTCAAGAGTGGTAATACTAAAGTAAAAGCAGGGACTGTCTTAAACTAAAAAAAGGGTTGGTTTACGCAATAGAAACCAAACCAACTTGTGCTGAGTGAGCTACAAGAATATGGGATCAGGATCTAAGATTCAACTAGGTCAAATCTCAACTTGCTTTCTCCTCTCTCTGCATTGCTCCCTCCCTCCCTCTCACCTTGCATTGCTTTCTCTTCTCCTTCCCAGGGCAGGGTTGAAGTCGAGATTGGGAAGGAGGGACTGAAGTTTGAGAACGGAGCCTTCACGTATTACGGTGTCTCTGCCCTGACAGCTCCTTCTTCAGGTGAGTCGCACGTTTCTTCCCACCTCTCCCCGCCACTGAGAGCCCTTTCGGGATGAGAGATTTGCACCAGAGCTTGAGCTGCTGGCTACTTTTTTAAAGGGCCAGGGCTGTAGCTCAGCAGTAGAGCATCTGCTATGCATGCAGAAGGTCCCAGGTTCAATCCCTGGGAGTGTCCCTGTGTTGAAACCCTGGAGAGCCGCTGCTGGTGATTAGACCACACTGTGTTGGATGGTTCTGACTTGGTACTGGGCAGTTTGTTATGCTCCTGTATTTTGAACCGAGCACAGCCTTGAAGGACCGGCAGTGTTGGCTCCGCCCACAGATTGGACCCCTGCAAGCCCTTTAGCTCCCCCCTCTGCAGCCTGAGCGGCAAGAGAGGCATCCACAGACTTCTTCCCCTGCACACTTCAGCTGCCGAGTCACTTGGTTGCCCATCGGCATTTATTGTTGGCTTTTTTAAACATACAACAGCAGAGGAAGGGGAGCATTCAGGAAAAGCTACAGACCTGCGTTTAACAAGAACAGATAATAGGTTTAGATAGTTGTTGTTTCGGCTGCATTCATGAGAACTTGAAACACATTCTTTTTTTTAAAGGCAGGACTTGCAGAGTTCTGGGTTAGAAGCCATATTCCTAAACTCCCTGCCTCTCATTTGCAACACTGATGTGTTTTCCTTCAATAGTTCATCAGTCCCCAGTGTCCACTCTCAGGATGAACCGTCGTGACCAGCAACATGAAAGCACAGAGACCACCACTTACTGTCCTGACTACACTGTCCGGGCACTCACTGACCTGCAGTTCATCAAGGTAAACACCATAAAAAGAAAGACTCTGGAGAAGTAGGCTGTTGGCCACCAGCCAAAGATCTTTTGAAATCAGTTCAGCAAATAGGATTTCTCTTTGAAATCTGTAGCATTTCTCCATAGTCTGTGACTTTGGCTCACCTGCTTGAGTAAGTTCCTTCTTTTGACCAAATTGCAATCTTAGGCCTCCATCCAGTTGCGTGCTGATCCACAGCATATATGATGCCCTGCTGGGGACTGGATCATCTCCCTGCTTTTGCAATCTCAGGAAAGTGACAAAAATATGAGGTATACAGTGGTGCCCCGCAAGACGAATGCCTCGCAAGACGGAAAACCCGCTAGACGAAAGGGTTTTCCGTTTTGGAGGTGCTTCGCAAAACGAATTTCCTATGGGCTTGCTTCGCAAGACGAAAATGTCTTGCGAGTTCCTGCAGGGTTTTTTCCCTCCCCCCCTTTTTCCTAAGCCGCTTATCAGCTGATCCGCTAAGCCGCTAAATAGCTGATCCGCTAAGCCGCTTAATAGCTGATCGCTAAGCCGCTTATCAGCTGATCCGCTAAGCCGCTAAATAGCTGATTGCTAAGCCGCTTATCAGCTGATCCGCTAAGCCACTTATCAGCTGATCCGCTAAGCCGCTTAACAGCTGATTGCTAAGCCGCTTATCAGCTGATCCGCTAAGCCGCTTAACAGCTGATCCGCTAAGCCGCTTAATAGCTGATCGCTAAGCCGCTTATCAGCTGATCCGCTAAGCCGCTTAACAGCTGATCGCTAAGCCGCTTATCAGCTGATCCGCTAAGCCGCTTAACAGCTGATCGCTAAGCCGCTTATCAGCTGATCCGCTAAGCCGCTTAACAGCTGATCCGCTAAGCCCCTTATCAGCTGATCCGCTAAGCCTGCTAAGCCACCACAAGACGAAGAGAATCACAGAACGGATTCTTTTCGTCTTGCGAGGCACCACTGTATTGAGCTCCTAGGGGGCCGCATTCAGCTAGGCAAGATGTACAGGCAAGACTTTGGCAAAATTCTCTGGTGATCACAGATCACTAGGGTTGCACCTTTAATTGATTGCATAACCAGTTAAAAACCCCAAAGGCTCATCTAATGCAGCGTCCAACCACATCCCTCTGGGAGGTCCGCAAGGAGGATCTGAGTGTGATGGCGCTTTCCCCTCTTTGCTCTTAGCCAGGGACCCTTGGCGAACACAGAACAAACCAGCCCCGTGATTTCCAAGCTGATGGTGGCTGAGGTGCAGATCATCTCTCACTGACCTGTGGCTTCTTTTCCGCAGGTTACCCGGTTGCAGTATCTCAATGCTCTCATGGCCTCGAGGATACAGAACTCCCCACAGTCACCTGACACCGTTGAATTGAAAATCATCCCCAGCAGCCAGACAAAGCTTCTGAATGACAAAAATGCCACGCCAGGTATGTGCTTGTTCCGTTGTGGGTCACCAGGTGGCGCTGTGGCTCAGCTCCCTTATGCCACCCGTGCCGGGACCTGCCATTTTATTTTCTCCTCCCGTTTGGACCACGGCTGCCTGCTTGGGTGGAGATGGGGCAGGATTCCTGCAGGCGCTGCAGATGCAACACCAGGGAAGAGGAGCGAGTCAGGAAAATCGGTTGGTGTATGTGCACAGAGTTAACATTATTGTCTAGTCAGTTTATTATGCACCCTTCATCCTCAATTCCGAGGGCAGGTTGCAATTTAAAATTCAGTATCAAAAGCACGTAAAGCAAATTACAACCACAGAAATAAGGTGGTTCCTAACTATATATACCTCAGGTGCCAAATGCCAAGGTAAAGAGGTTTCTCTTCAGTGTTCCCTGAAAGCAGGACAGTGAAGGTGCCAGGCACAGCTCTGTGGGGAGGGAATTCCACAACGTGGGGCTGCCACAGAGATTGTCCTCCCTCAGGCCACCACCTCCCAAACTTCTGAAGAAGGTGGAACGACCGGGGGGGGGGGGCCCTCTGCTGATCTTACATCTGTCTGAGAAAATTGGCAGGGAGGAAGGTAGCAAAAGTCGTTTTGGGCTTCAAACACTAGTATGAGCACCTTAAATTGTGCCCAGAAATGAAGTGGCAACCAATTGTCTCTCCAACTTCTGCCAAAAGATTTGGTGATGGCTGCTGGCTTAAATGACTTTAGATGTGGCTTAGACCATTTTGTGGAGGATTGGTCTCGCCATGGCCTGGTGGCTAGGTAGGAGCTCCATGTGCCAAGGAATGACACAACGGAGCAATCGCTGCTGAGGAGCTTTAGTAGGCCTTTGTCTTCATGTCCTGCTTGTAGATTTTTAGAGGCTGTGGGATGCTGGACTAGGTAGACCAGAGGCAGCCAACGTGGGGCCCTCCTGCTGTTTCTGGACTGCAGCTCCCATCACCACCAGCCAGTTGGAGTTCAGCAACACCTGCAGGGCATATCGGTTGATGACCCCTGATCTTCTCTAGCACAACTCTCCTTAGGCTTCATTCATTTTTTCCTTCCACGGACTTGAGCACTGGCTCCGGCTGATGGCAGTTGTAGTCCAAAAGAGGGGTTCCCAACCCCCCCCCCCCAGATTGACCACTTGGAAATGACTGAGGGTCTTGGCAGACCTCTAAAGTATTTTTCTGCCTGTTCTGAAAACATAAGAAGATCCTGCTTGCTCAGGCCAATGGCCAATCTAGTCGAGAATTCTGTTCGCACAGCGGCCAAGCAGTTGCCCCTAGGGAGACCCAGAAGCATAGCCTCAGCACAAGAGCGCCTCCCCTCCTGTAGCCTCCAGCAGCTGGGGTTCAGAAACATGACTGCCTCCGACCGCAGAAGCCGAGCAGAGCCATTGGGAACCTTATCCTCCTCTGGGAGCACGTTCCATAGTTTAGCTGCGTGAAGAAAGAAGGACTTTGTTTACCTGTCCTGAACCTTCCAGCATTCAGCTTCATGGGATGTCTGTGAATTCTCGTGTTATGAGAGAGGGGCGCACACTTCTCTCTATCCGCTGCAGCAATTGTAATGTGCTATATGATCTTTGGTTGCATTTTTATGGCTTCTTTTATTCATTATATTGTATTTTATTGTATTTCCGTAGACTTCAAATTGTGATGTGATAAAATAAAAATAAAATAAATAAAAAGAAGCAATAGAAATGCAATTAAGACTCAGTATGAATGCTTAATGTGGACACACTTGAATGCATTCATTGCACCGCTGGCCTAAAACATCTGGCAGGGGGCACCTGGTTGGCGAAGGCTGCCAAAGGGCATGGGGATCAGGGGTGTTTACCAAGGGCTTCATGAAAAAGGGAGGTGGGGTTTCAAGGGAGGAGTTTGAAAGAAGGAAGGGAGAGGAGGCTTGATTTTCTGGGAGGCAGTCCCAGGCATGACAACGAGCCTGAGACACAGAAAGACATGACAGTCGCAGGCAGGGCTGTATCTGTCATCTGGGGACATAAGAGCTCAGAGACAGGCAGGTGGGGGAGGCAGTGAAGGTGAGGAGGCGGCGCTTGGTCTGGATGCAGGAGCACAGGGGCATTGTCAGTGGGGCTCCTGGCCCAGCAAAGCTGTATGTCTTTCCTTTCCACGCGTTTTCTTCTGCACTGTCCTTCCAGGAGCTAAACACTGCCATCTCTCCTCTTCTCTTTCTTCCTTTCTCCCTCCAGCCTTCCCGCTCAATCTCTCTTTCTTTGGCACAATTGAGAACTGCATTTAATACAGGCCTCTCTGCCATAGTCTGGAGTGCCTTTTTTGTTTGAAAACCACAAGGTAAATATATCCAGTTGGTTCCCTTCCTGCATTTGCCCTCCTTGCAGCGCCCTCTGGACCCAGGGGAAGGGACAGCAGCAGGCCCTCTGGGGGTTATTGGCCTTCAGCCCCATCTGCATGGCTCATGGTCAGCATCACCTGGAGGGCCATAGGTTGCCTAGTCCTTGTTTAGTCTCCCAGTTGTGTGATTGCTGTAGGACAAGCAGAACTTTTTAATGACCCAGTCACCGTAGGGACTAACAGGGTTACTCCTCCCCTCCTTCCCCACGGAATCTGCATCTCATCAGGAGGGAGCTGCCAGGGGGAAAGGCTCAACTAATCAACCCCTGGCCTGATGGATGGGTCATTAAGAGCACCCATCTTAGGTTGGGTCTACTCAGAAGTAGTAGAATGATTGTATCATGTCAGACTGCAAGTGGGAGATGCCAATTTGCATGGTTCCCTTACTTCTTCTCTTCTGCAGGTTTTCTGCTTGCGGGGGTTTGTGTTTGTTGTTTAACGAGGGCAGCACCGACCCTCCTGGCTGCACCCTAAAGTGGAACAGTTCTTTCTACCATCTAATTTTTGTAGCGTCTGCAAACCAGACCTTTGTCTGTTGGATCACTAATTGCCCCCCCCCCATCCTGCCTTTCCCACCTTAACCAGATGTGGCTCTTTTGTGCAGGGGAGGAAGGGGTGGGCCCACCTTGCAAGAGGGCAGGGGAGATCCCGGGGGGGGGGTTGGATTTCACTGTTCTGATTCCATGCTAGCCTGCTTTCCTCCTCCCTTCAGCGAGACTCGAGAGAGAGAGAATCTGTCTCATTCCCAGGGCTAAAGCCTGTCTCCACTCTTCACATGGCAAGAGTACAGTTGTCAGTTTATCAAGTGGGTATTTGCCACACTGTGTTATGCAAGAACTTGGTGAACTGGCTGGCTGTATTATCCTACCCCCCACTATGCACAACCATATTTGCGGGGTTGTGTGTGTGTGCTCCAATTTCGTGGGAGCAGAGAAATTGGCATTGGACAAGATACTCAGCTTCCCAGAATCTCAACTTATTTGTTATTTATATATTTCTTGCACCTTTCTCTCCCAAGGAGGTCAAGGTGGTGTGTACATGGTTCTTCCCTCCCTCCCCCACCTTCCTCATTTAATTCCCACGACAACCCTGTGAGGTGGATTAGGCTGAGAGGCAGAGTGACTGGCCCAAGACCGCTTACGGCTGAGTGGGAATTTGAACCCTGGCTGCTTCTCCTTGAAGGCAGTGGTGTGCTTGAAAGAACCAGGGTGGCAAAGTGGTTGGCATTTCAGACTGCCAAGACCCAGGTTCACATCTCAGCTCAGCCATGAAGCGTACAGGGTAGGCCTTGGGCTTCCTCTCAGTGCCTAGCCTCCCTCGCAGGGCTGTTGCTTGCTATGAGGATGGAAAGCATGCCACCTTGAGCCAGAGGCAAAGGTGAGCAGCGCGACCGCTGTGGAGCTGACCTTTCTGCAAGGGGCTGCTTTCTGCACACACCTCTCCATTCAAACAGACAAGCAAGAGGCAGGATTGGAGCTCAAGAAGGGTGAGGGCTAAGCCTGGGGAGAGAGCAGAGGGCCAAAGAGAGGGCCTTCCAGTCCTGAGGTCCCATTTGGAGAGCTGCAGGCTCCCCATTACTCTTTCTTTCATACAGGATGCTCAGTTCCTGCTCATGGCTCAGTTCTTTGTTGCCAAACCACCGAGAGCCCAGCAACGATGGGGTATAAACATTGCCATTCTTTCTCTTCCTTGCCGCCCCCCCCCCCATTCCAGGGAAAAGCAGAAGCAAGCTCAACCTTCTGGAAGAGGAGAGCCAGAGCACAGGGGTCTGACCCGCTAGAGGCTTTGGGGGCAAGGGGTCTCGGGAGGCCCCCTCTGAAATCTCGGTCGCCTTCTCCTGGAGTCCACCCGTCCTTCCGAGGAACCTTTCACTTTGGCTCCTGCGTCCCAGAGAGACTCCTGGAACTGTGAGGAAACTGGCCAGCAGCCTCTTGGGTTGCTTCTGGTGCTCTGACCCGGCTGCAGCACCCTGGACGTCCTCTGAGCAGCACTTGACGGACAAAGGGTGGTTGAGTCTGGGGGGGCGGGAATCTCTAAGACTGTGAACAGCAGAGAACAGCCACCCTGTGCCTACGGACTGGATTACTTTTGCGGGAGTCGGTGTGAGCAGGGACTGGCAAGGGTGTCATTGCAACAGCATTCCCTCTGCTCCACTGACTGTGTTGATCTTTTCCTCCCCGCGTGCAACAGATCTCCCTTCCACCCAGCGGTCTCATATGTACATTCCACCCACCCTCCAGGCACACTTCAGTTTGTTAGTCCCCACACCAGACTTTCACTGGTGGCTCCAGCGCTTGGCTCTGGGGCACCCCCACCCGCCAGCCTCCCTCTGCAGCAGCTCTTGCGCTTCCTGCCTTTGACTGTAGCTGCACCCAGCCGCCATACCAGGCCTGACTCCAGGACCTGAAACTTGCTCCTCCCACATTCCAAGCACACCCACCTTGCTGGTCTTCTGAACGCCAGCGCCAGGCTCCAAGGGCATTTGAACCAGCCGTGAGTCTCATCTGGCGCCAGGCAGGGCATCAAACCACCCTCCCCAAATTGTGCCAAAGTCCACACTCCCTAGAGCCACATGTGCAGCCTGGCTCTGTCTTGCCAGGATTGCACTGCTCGCCCTCTTTCCAGAAAGGGGTCCCCATGGCGATCAGGTGGTGGGCTCTGTCTGTGCCAACCCAGGAAATGCTGCTATTCTGCCAAGCAACCCTTCCTTCCCAGAGGATGCCTGTCTCCTGGCCACTTTCACCTAAAGTTTCATTCTCTTCCCCCTTGCTTTGCGTCTCTAGTTCTTCAACTCCAACACAGGTTTAAAAAACAGTTTGCGCAGGTGGGAACTGGGGCGGGAGCCATTCCGACCCCGTGCTGGTGTTTCCCAAATACTGGAGTTGAAGTGACTCCTCACTAAGCTGTTGAGTGGTTGGGGATGGGACAACAGGATTTGGCCCATCAATCTGCCGGCATTCCAGGCACTGAGTCTCCCACCTTGTGAATGCTTGCAGTGCATGGAGGATCTGCAGCATTTTGCTGCAGCTTACCCAATAAGGCCTGCTGGGTGGAAGAAAGTCCTCAAGGACCACCATTCCTCCTCTAACCTGCTCCTTCTGGCTCCTTGTGTTCGTGCTTAGAAGAGCAGCTGCTGTTGCATTTCCCTCTGGACTAGCCTTCCCCAGCCTGTGCACTTCAGATGCTTTGGACTACACCTTCCCATCAGCCCCATGCGGCACGGCTCCTGCTCAGTGGCTGATGGGAGCAGGAGTCCAGCACAACTGGAGGGCACCAGGTGGAGAAGGCTGTTCTCGGCTGTCCTCCTTGGCTGCCGGGTTCTGGCTGGAGAGGCAGCACAGGATGCTATGCTTGCCCTCCACGCTAGCTTGGGCAGAGAGAAACAGTCCCCCCACCCTTAGTTGCTACTTACAGTATTCCCCCACTGGAGTTCTTGTTTTTAAAATGAAATAAAGGACTGAAGAGCAAGAGAGGGAAAGAGAGAAAGTTGGTTTCCCTTTCTCCCTCTCTCGTCCTCTCCCTGTCCATAACCAACAGCAGAAGTTGTCTAAAAGCAATGTATAATTTCAGGTAAATTATTTGTAACCTGCCTTTATGTTGTAGTTTTTCTGCAAGGACTGTACCTTCAAAATGGAATAGTCTAATCTTATATATCTATTTATAAGTTCCTGGCTTTAAGGAGTGTTTGGTACGCTGCGTCTATAAGGACCTCTCAAAACAATTCAGGAGCTGTTACCATGAGCGGCTTTTGCGAAGGGGATGTAAATGCCCCACCTTTCCTCTTCCTCCTTAGGTTGCCCATGGCTCTGGGAAGGAGGACCTCCTTTGGTTTCCACCAAAGACAGTCTTGCTTACCTATGGTGACAGGGACCACAGCCAGGCTCTTGCCAGGGTCGCCTCCCAGTCTGCCATGTCTGCTTGAGGAGTCCCAGGCTGGGGGCCCCCATTCCACAGGCTACATCCCCAGTAGCCCTTTTCTCTGTCCTCAAGAGTTGGTGCTGGGCTCAAATGTGTCCTTGAACTGTGAAAATGGTCTCTGGGAGGAGTAGTAAAGGTAAAGGTACCCCTGCCTGTAGGGGCCAGTCTTGCCAGACTCTAGGGTTGTGCGCTCATCTCTCTCTATAGGCCGGGAGCCAGCGCTGTCCGCAGACATTTCCGGGTCACGTGGCCAGCGTGACGAAGCTGCTCTGGCGAGCCAGCGCAGCACACGGAAACGCCGTTTACCTTCCCGCTAGTAAGCGGTCCCTATTTATCTACTTGCACCCGAGGGTGCTTTCGAACTGCTAGGTTGGCAGGCGCTGGGACCGAACGACGGGAGCGCACCCCGCCGCGGGGATTCAAACCGCCGACCATGCGATTGGCAAGTCCTAGGCGCTGAGGTTTAACCCACAGCGCCACCCGCGTCCCTGGGAGGAGTTGTAGAAAACTATAAATTGGTGGATGGCTGGCACGTATGACCAGTCACCCTTGATCCTCCTCCCGACAGTTATGTGGCTCCCCAGAAGATTCCCCCCCCCCCGCCCACGATTGAGGCCATGGGCTGTAGGGTTACCAGCAGTGGTTGAGAGGGGGCCCTTTCTTGTTTCAACCTTTGAGGAGAAAGAGTTGATGCCAGAGCATTGGAGAGAGAGAGGATTTCAGGAGCAGCCCTTTCCTAAAACACAAAACTCTGCACAAAGCCAGGGCTTCCGATGATTTATTCTTGTTCAAAGAGGAATCGCCATATTCCAAAAAGACAAACACAAGCCTTTTGGGTGACTGGGGTTTAGCCATCCATAGTCAGCCCCTCGCATTCCCTTAAGTAGGGCCTTGTTTGACATGCCAGTTGTGGGGGAGAAGAGGGCTGTCTTCTCGCAGATTGAAGGGCCAGAAATGTCAAGATCAACACCCTTTGAGAAAGTTCCACCACCTGATTGGCAAAGAGAGCCTATCCTCCAGATGGCCATGTTCCCCAGAGCTGCTTGAATTTGTCAGAATTTCCCCCCAAAAAAGTAGAGGCTAGAACATTATTTTCGACACATTTAGATTCAAGATCAACTTGAGAAGAATTGAGACCTCACATTGGTTTGCAAAGATCCATTCAAGTAATTTCCTCCAATCCCCTCTGCACATTTCTCTGCAGAATGAAAGGGGCATAAAGGTACCCCTGACCGTTAGGTCCAGTTGCGGACGACTTGGGGGTTGCGCAGTCATCTTGCTCTATAGGCCAAGGGAGCTGGCGTTTGTCCGCAGACTATTTAGCTTCCCGCTGGAGCAGTACCTATTTATCTACTTGCACTTGATGTGCTTTCGAACTGCTAGGTTGGCAGGAGCAGGGACCGGGCAACGGGAGCTCACCCCATCGTGGGGATTCGAACTGCCGACCTTCCGATCAGCAAGCCCTAGCTCTGTGGTTTAGACCACAGTGCCACCCGCGTCCCACAGAAGGGGCACAGACATGTATTAAAAGTTCATTCTCCAGAGTCCAGTGTGACCCATGTACCAGACAGCAAGGTAGACCATTGTGGTAACCAGACACTGAAGGGCAATGCCCATCCTGGCTCTGGGGCTCTTTCACTGATTACCTTGGGAAAAATCCATCAACAGGTATGTATGTCAGGTATAGAGAACGTGAAACCCAGTTCCACGGTGAAGGTCAGTTAGCAGAAAGTCAGGGAGCTGCTCTGCACACTCCAGAAACAACAACAGCAGTAAGGGGATGATGCCAAGAACAGCTGTGCCGGCAGTGTGCAAACTCTGGAACCTGCAGCACTTGAGATCCATTTTGCATCAGAGAATAAATCCTTTGAGGATCCTGTTTTGGTTGGGGGGTCATGGCCTGAACCAGCAGCGCCAAGATCCTGCTTCTCCAACAGACAAGGAAGGAGAGGGCAGTGCCTGGAGGCATGTGGCTCCACAGCAGTGGCTGGGAATGGCAAGGAGGAGGCAGTCGCTGGCACCTTTTAAGGGCTGGGAGCAAAGAGGTTATGCCCTTTGTGGCATGTGCAAAGATGGGGAGGGGGGGCAGTACAAGAGGGGCAGCTCCTGCCCACCCAGACGTTCCTCCTGAGCTCCCGGTGACGATGCTGCTGGGGTGGCTGGCTGGCTACTTTGTCTCTTCCCAATGCCTCAACATACCCTCACCTGCGAGCTGGCTGCTCCAGCAGGTGAGTTCAATGCGCTGCGCTGCTTACCCATTGCTGCAGCTAATGCAGCAGGCCCAGGCAGAGCAGTGGAGCATTGGAAGAAAAGCTGTGTGCCCCATGGCCTGCCCTGCACCCTCTAAGCTTGCACTGAATTGAGAGTTGACTGCCATTAACAACCAGCTTCTGGGAGCAGAATGAAGCTGGTGTGCCATCCTGTCCTTTGCCTGTGTTGATCTTTTCCTCCCCACGTGCAACAGATCTCCCTTCCACCCAGAGGTCTCATATGTACATTCCACCCACCCTCCAGGCACACTTCAGTTTGTTAGTTCCCACACCAGGCTTTCACATGACTAGTACATCTCCTGGCAATTCCCCCCCCCCCGGCTTTGGCCGATTTTGTTTTTATCTGAAAAATATTTACTAGTGAGTTTCTAACCTGCTATGGTCCTGTTGAATCCTGATTCTATTAGCTACTCCCCTCCCTGTTTGGTGTCATCTGCAGATTGAATGAGCATCCTCTCAATTCCTTCATCCAAGTCATTTATAATGGCATTGGACAACAATGGGGCCAGGACACTCCACTTGTCACTTTTTCCAGGATGCTGAAAACCATTGGAGAGCACTCTTTGGGTTCTGCTAGTCAACCAGTTACAAATCCACCTAACAGTAGCATTGTCTAGCCCACATATTACCACTTTCTCTTCAAGGAGATCAAAAAGTAGCTCAAGAAGCAGTAACTTGTTCCATCTGACCTGAATCTTTCAACATTCATCTCCATTGGATGTTCCCAAAGTTCTAGTATTATGGGAGGAAAACTGTCCCCCATCCATTTTCTCCACACCACACATCAGTTTATATACATCAGTCATACCCCTTCTATCTCTTTCTCTAAACTAAAATCCCTCAAACATTGTCCACTTTCCTTGTAGTGGAGTTCTTCCACCCCCTTGGTCATTTTGGTTGCCCATTTTTGGTACTTTTCCAACTCCCAAATATCCTTTTCAGGATGAGGCAACCTAGAAATTAACCTATGACCATTTATCACCAGTAAGCGGATGATACCCAGCTCTACCTCTCTTTTAAATCGGAACCAGTGAAGGCGGTGAAGGTCCTGTGTGAGTGTCTGGAGGCAGTTGGAGGATGGATGGCGGCTAACAGATTGAGGTTGAATCCTGACAAGACTGAAGAACTGTTTCTGGGGGACAGGGGGCGGGTGGGTGTGGTGGACACCCTGGTCCTGAATGGGGTAACTGTGCCTCTGAAGGACTAGGTGTGCAGCCTAGGAGTCATTTTGGACTCACAGCTGTCCATGGAGGCGCAGGTCAATTCTGTGTCCAGGGTAGCTGTGTACCAGCTCCATCTGGTATGCAGGCTGAGACCCTACCTGCCCGCAGACTGTCTCGCCAGAGTGGTGCATGCTCTGGTTATCTCCCGCTTGGACTACTGCAACGTGCTCTATGTGGGGCTACCTTTGAAGGTGACCCAGGAACTACAACTAATCCAGAATGCAACAGCTACACTGATGATGACTGGCCACCGAGACCACATAACACCAGTCCTGAAAGACCTACATTGGTTCGCAGTACATTTCCAGGCACAATTCAAAGTGTTGGTGCTGACCTTTAAAGCCCTAAACAGCCTCG